CAGTGGCTTTTCAGGGGATTCTCCACCCGATTCAGCGGCCCTGTTTGATTCTCGTCCCCAGAAAACCTGCGCTCACCGTCAGCCCTGCCGAGAGACCGTCCAGCCAGCGTCAGAGACCATCCAGCCTGCACCAGAGACCAGGATCCCGCCCAGCCTCCCTCTCCCGCCTCCTCTCATCTGTCCTCCATCTGCTCTCCTGCCCTTCAGCTCCCTGAAACCAGCCTGGTCAGTGGATCCCCAGTTTTCGCCTCCCGCCTCCTCCACATGGACACTTCCTCGGCCCCCGGTCCCATTGGCTTCCCCGTGGCTCTTACCTCCTTCAGCTCCTCCATGGTCCCTCAGTCCACCAGCTTGGCCAGGCTCCCTCGTCCCTCTGGATTCCCTTCGGTCCCTCATCACCCGTCCTTTACCTCTGGACTTTCATTTGTTGGCTTCACCCCGTCATTTCACCCCCCCGGTTCAGTTGGACTCCTCACTCCCTCCAGTCACCCATCAGCCCTCACTCCCTCTGGTCTCACCGTGTCCCTTTGTGCCCCTGGCATCACTTCAGTCACCTGAGGCTGCGGTGTCACCATGTTCCCTCGGTCCCTCATCAGCACCCCGTGTCGTCAGTCCCTCAGCGTCACTCTGGTCTCCTCTCTCACTTGCTCCGCCCCCGTCAGTCGGCCCCCTGGTGTTGTCAGCCCCGTCTCCTTCGGCTCCACCAGGGGTCCTCCCTCCATCTGCTCCGCCCTGGTCTCGCCCTCAGCCTGCCCCGCCCTGGTCTCGCCCTCAGCCTGCCCCGCCCTGGTCTCGCCCTCAGCCTGCTCCGCCCTGACCACGCCCTCAGCCTGCTCCGCCCTGACCACGCCCTCAGCCTGCTCCGCCCTGGCCACGCCCTCAGCCTGCTCCGCCCTGGCCACGCCCTCATCCTGCTCCGCCCTGGCCACGCCCTCATCCTGCTCCGCCCTGGCCACGCCCTCATCCTGCTCCACCCTGGCCACGCCCTCATCCTGCTCCGCCCTGGAGGGCCTCCTCATTATGTTTGATTCCTCTGTGTATTTAGTTCCTCCTCATTCTGTCAGTCATTGTCGGTCGATATAAGTGTTTGCTGTGTTTTGTGGATTCCCTACCCGCCTTCCTGTATGTACCAGTTCCTTGGAGTTTCTTTATTAAATGTTAGAATTGGAGCACTCTCTCTCGGATTCCTTCTTCCACCCGCACTACACCGTGACAGGCTTGAGGGTAAGTAAATTATGGGATCATTATTATTTTTGGGTGAACTAATCCTTTAAATAGACAAAGTAAACCAATCAAACAAACCTGTGTCCACTTAATCAAACCATTTGTAACCTAGGAGACTAACTTAAAGCTACACTGTGTGATTTTTACCCCCATCTTGTGATGAAAAGGTATATGACCATCCAATGAGTTTCTGTTCCTCTCAATTCAACTCCTACGGTGGCCAATGTAGTCCAAGATTAACATGGCTTCCAGTTCGACTTTGTCCATGAGTGTTAACTCAAACGTAAACGCAAAGGGCGAAGCTTGAATTAACGTGTATGTCCCTCTTTGGCTAATGTACTTTCAAGATGGAGGGGCAACATGGCGACCGACATTAGAACCCCTTACCCGTATGTATTTTCAATGACATATTATACACTCACAAGAATACTTTATTACTTGAACAGAGTAAATATACATTAATGAGCACATACTGTATATTTTTGAAAGAACTAAGTGTATTTAGCTAAGAATAAACTAAAAGAGTTACACAGTGTAGCTTTAAACACAGAGAAACAAGATAAAACTGAGGCACAAAACTGAAATAATACATCGAAACTCAGATTATCCCAAACAGGTTCACACACACAATAAATATACATTTTGAGTCAGGACTTTTTGAATTGTTGTCATTCAGTTCACAGCACATTTCAGTCCAGCAGCGAGAAGTATCATACATAATTGCTTTGTTTTTTGGATCAGCTGATCAAACTAAATTGCAGTGTGCATCACCGGCTCCTCCCCAGCACGGCATCAGTGCGAAAATTAAAACCTTGAGCTTATTTTTAATTGAGCGCTATTAATACCCAAGCAGAGGCCACTGCAGATACCTCTTTATCTTCACTCTTTAATGTGTGAAGCAGATGAATTCATTTTCCCATGACTGAGCTTTCAGACACCAACCTGCCGTGATTGGTATGTGCTCTGCTGCATATGCTGTAGGCATAAATCATCTTGCTGCGAGCCTGTTAAATACACAACATTTCCAATTATGTCTTGATTTCACCATGAATTTTTTTTTTTAATGGAATATTGCTGTAGTGATTATAAAGGATTTATCTGTATACATAATTTTTGTTAATTCATGTGCCCTCATAATCTTCAATCCAAATAACTTTCCTTCTCTCTTGCAGCTCATCTCTTCTCTCCTTTGATGATGTGTTTACTGGCAAGAGGGCAGGGCAACCTGTCAATCACATGACATCACAGCAAAAGCAAAGTCCTTTTGAAGGAAAGTCTGTTTCGGGCATTCAAAACGAAGGATTCTATTTTAAAGGTGCCCTCTGGCATTTAAAATCAAATCATACAACATATTCCATACCAGATGGGGGCAGTATACCTCCAGAAATACCTCCACAGCCACGCGCACTCTCATGTCTTCAACAACACGGGCGAGCGCTGTGTTGCTCTGTCTCCCTCACGCATATTAATCAAATCAATTGACACGATAATAAAAGGTTGGAAGACCGCAGTTTCACGTGGAGCATTTGAAGAGTTCCATTTGAAATTTTCTTCTAGAATGATCATTTTTATCAAGCTTGTATTATTAAGTTCAGTGATTTCACTTAAATGGCAATGATAATTACATATTAATTGTTATTTAAGTGAAATTACTAAAATTAAATATACAAGTTTGATAAATCATCATTCAAGAAGAAAATTTTAAATGGCATTTAGAGGCTTTTGCATCTGAACTCTTCATTTGAAGATTTTTACAGATTAGAGACTAAATGAACAACATCTCAATACTAAATTATAAAGGCCGTCTCATAGACAAGCCGGTGCATTTCGACGATATGGGAAAATTAAAGCCCAGGCTATTATTTCTAGTTTTATGATGTTCGTTTTGTTCATATCATTAGTTTTAATTAATTTGACAGACAGCATTCCCTGATGTGGACCAAGCTAGCGTCTTTCAGAGCTGCCAACTCTCACAACACTTTTCACACACTCTCACGCCACACATCAATTTTGTCATGCACAGAAAAGGACACGGAGACCGATGTTAGCTCAGATTCTGTTCATTTTATTACGCAATTCAAACAATAAATACAGTATTGGCGCTTTACACGACAGATCCCTAGCGCACGTGAACCGATCATCTCTACTAGCTAATGGTAAAAGAACACGAACACTGTTGAAAGATACAGTATGCTACAACTTACCAAAATGTATTCCTCATGCATAATATCGACCAATCATTTTTTGAACTCTTCCCTGAACTGAAATGTAGTAATGGGCCGTATTTCCACACGACTGACATCAGGTTCAAGTACACACAAGCCGCGCGACTTACTTTCGTCTATTGCAGTTTGGCTGGTGGTAATGTTGCCTGCCCGCATACCGCCTCCCATGGCTGAAACTGGTATTACGACACCTGCCGGGCCGGGGCTAGTAATTTAGCATGCTAATTCAGGTTAATATCTCGGCAGCACTATAACTTGTCATTTTTTTATGACATCATCAACCTTATTTCTTCTCATTCTTTTGATGCGTGTAGCTCATTTTTGGGATATTTTAACCTCAATTTTTACAGATGGCACCTTTAAGGATCTAAGCGCATGGTCTAAAGCACACGGCGGTTGTGTCCGAATCCACTTTTGCTAGTAAAATGACGGGAAAAGTGGTTGGTGCGCCCGGCGCATGGTCTAAAAGTTTTATCCCTATTCTCTTAATGAGTAATGGGTGTGTTTTAGGCATAACGTGCAATAAACCAATCTCTCCGAGTCTCTCCCATTTACTTTAAATGTGAAAATTAAAACTGCATCGGGCTGAAGCTAGCAAAGAACACTTTCGTCGCGCCCGGCGCTGCATTGCACCAGGTGTATGAGAGGGCTCCTGGTCTTGAATGGGGGAATCCTGAAATGTTTTTGTTTGTAATCAAAAATGATGTCCACATGTAATTTGTCTCTATTTTGAAGTGTTGGCTGTTTTTAATTTGCTGTCTGTCTGCTTTAAATATGGCACAGATGCATTGTGTATTAACTTTAAATGTATTACTAAATTACACAAACACACAAATGTTTATGTCTTTCCTAAAGCTGTTAATTTCTTAATATAGTGAACCACTCCCTCTTGTGGTGGAAATGAATTGTCCAATGTCAAACAGATGTAGTCCTACCTTTCAAATCTCACATCTTTCTTTTTCTTTCTTTTTTTTTCATAGATAAATGTAATTCAAGGAGAAAAACTGAAAAATATGCAGCAATTACAATTAGATGTGATACAAATCAAATTATTAATTAGGCTATTTAATGTCTCCAAATGTCCACATTTTTTAGAATATCAACTTTTCTATTTTTGTAAATATTTATAATACATATCTGACACGTTATTTTGTCAAGGGTTTTAAACCATTGAACAAAGGGGAAAACATGATCAAATGAAAGCAGGAGGCTACGTTGCACCCAAACATAGCTAGAAGAAGAATAAATGGAACTAAAAATGATTATACAGTATATAAAAGTATTATTGCGTTTTCTGCCCACTCCTCAGCAAACAGTGATCTAATGTTATTATTATTATCTTATTAAACAGAACAGAAGGATGCTTGACGGCTGGAAATATGATGGTGTTTCAGCAGTAGTCACCATCAGTGTCCGCCGTTTCAGTGTCCCGCCCACCTAAAACCCATTTTTACACCTTCATTGATCATTGATTGACAGGCGAGAAAGAAGAATGAAGGCAGAATGAATGGTGCCTACTAGTCAACAAGCATCACTGCCCAATGATTCAGAGCGCATGCGCAGTGCTTACGCTCTGGATGCTGCTCAATATAGAAAAGCAAGCTGCCTGTTCGCCAAAGTAACGATTTAAAGGAGAAGAAATGTCTCGAAATAGTGCATCAGATATGCAAGATGAAATAAGGATTGCCAGCCAAATGACAAAATGTGCGGACGCCGATGCTTCTCCGCGCTCCGATCGTTTCATCTTCGGTCCAAAATGCCACTTGCTTAACTGACATACGAGGATAGAGACATAAACAGTCATTGATAAAGGGATACAAAGCAAATCTACAAATATGAACGTTACGTTGCTTAAAAAGCGAAGGCTGGACTGTGTGTATGCGGTGCTGTTTTGGCTCCATCACGGTGTGTGGATGTGCTGTTCCGCGGCCGAAGAGTATCATTTTAGCGTTGAGGTAAGACTGGCCCAACATCAGCATCAGCGTCTTCTTCTTGTGTGTTGACAATACGCTTTTACTAAGACCTACAAAAACAGGAAATATTGCAGCCAGGTCGTAAATAAACCAGGACAGCACAGAATCACGTTGAATCACTTGGTGGATCTGCACCATGTGCCGCCTGATTTCTTTGATATTGAAGGCTATAAATATGCAGCTGTTCTATTCTAGTTTAGTCGTATCTGTGCTCAGTAAACGGAATGCAATTCTATTCTGTTATACATAGCTCTGGTGTTCTGTTCTATTCTAGTCTAGTCTGGTTTACCCCTGTTCAATTATTCTGAGACTGAGTTGACATGTATGCAATATTCTATGCAAGTCTATACTGTTTTATTCAGACTATTTTTATGTAAAGTAAAAATTCTGTTCTATTCTGTACACCAAATTACAGAATGGAATAAAATGGACTGAGTACAATTGAATAGAATAACATTTCTGTTGGCTTTGTATTACAGAATAGAATAACAGATAATTCCTGTTTACACTGTATTAGAAACGAACAGAATAATATATCATTCCTATCTATTGTTGAATTATGGAATAGCAAAGTGTAGACTCACATTCCTTTGTTGGTTCACCTAATTACAGAATAAAAAATTAGATTCGACCAAACAAGATTGGAATAGAATGATTATTTTGTTCTGAATTAAAAAATAAATTGAAATGCTATTCTATTCCATTCAAGGATTCCATTCTGATTCCGTTTACTAAACGATTTCAATTGTATTTTGTAACAAAGATAACTGAAATGTTCTATTCCATTCTAGTCTAGTCTATTCGATCTGGTGTACTGAACAAAATAGAATGCAATGGAATAAATACAATTCCTATCTATACCATACATTGAAATGCAGAATAGAATTAAGCATATATGACTAAACTAGAATAGAATACAGTGATACAACTCTATAATACCATTCTTGGTCATTAGTAGACAAGAATTCTGTTCTGTTAAATATTAATTTAACCTATTCTGCAATTGTGCACTGATTAAATTCTATTATATTCCATTATATCGTATTCTATTCTGTGTACTGATCGATATAATATGAAGTACACCTTTAAACATGCTACATACTCAATCGTACACTGTTACGCAATTTAATGCACAAGCTCCCAACAGCTCCTGACACTGCACACTAGGCATGAGAGAGAGAGAGAGAGAGAGATCAGGAACAATCAGAGCTTCTGCTCCTTCCTCCGTTCCAAATCCATTCCCTCAGAGATGACAATCACACGCCTCTAACGGACCATGTGACAATCATTGGGGTGATGGAGAAAGCAAGCAAGCAACCTTGATTCACTCAGTGCTACTCAACCACAGACTCTTGTGATAATGTGAAGTACATAAAGATTATGTAAGTTGCTTAGCAAATCTCCCCCAAACTCCTCCGGGCCGAAATGGGCGCAAATGTGATATTTAGTGCTGCCGGCAGCGCTGGTTGACATTGAGAGAATTTGTCACCCGCCTGGCTCTGTTTGGCTTGGAGACGAGAGATGTAGAGGGCGCTGTGCCAGTTGATCGGCTCGTGGTGGACGTGCGATTGTCATGATAATATTGATGCTGTTTCGGAACAGGCTTTATCGATGAAACTGTCCTTCACAAATTACAACAATACCAGTGGGACAGAACCATCAGAATGTTCAATGAATGATCTTCACTCTCTCAGTAACTATAACCCCTTGTTCTTCTCTGCTCTCTACCACCCATGTAGCTCCTTGTGTGTTTTTTTTTTTTTTTTTTTTTTTTTTTTTTGCTGGCAGGGCTTCGGTTGTTGGCAGCAGTTGTGAGTTGAGTGCACAGGTCAGTGGTCTTTGGGGAAGAGTGTGTGTGTGTGTGAGAGAGAGAGAGATGAGTAATGACTGCTCGGAGGGAGGACTTCTGATCCGCGAACTAGGAATAGACTAGAGAGCGCAAGGTTCAAGGATTCAGAGTGAAATCAAGATTGGGCCCCCAGGGCTTTAATTACGCCCGTCTTTCGCATACAGGTGCAAATGTGCTTAGCTAGAGCTAAGTTGGTAATGACATTTCATATAGCTCTAGGTCTACATGTGATTAATAGAGAGTCAGGGGTTGTTGCTACATGCTATGGACCAGTGAGATACTGTAAACAGTCATACTCGTTCAGATAAGGCGTGTGGGTTTTGTAGATGACATGGCCATACTTCATTTTTAATGACGTTTAAAATGCATTTGAATATGTTATTATGTCATCAAAGGGTCATAAAACCAGTGATCAGACAAATTTGCACAAATTCTCGTTTTTTTTTTTTTTTGTTTTTAGACTTATGCTTTGCCTGATAAAAAGGATGAAAAAAAACATATACGTTGGGTATGTTTACACGACAACGATGTGCTAAAAACAGAGAAGTTTTTCCTCTTTTCACGCACAGGCGACAACGTTGTCAAAACGATCCCTGTTCACGCGGATCTGTGAAAACGACTAAAAACGCTGAATTACGTTTGCATCGTTTTTTTGTAGTTTACATTGAGATAATAGCAGTTTTGTTTCCAAAAACTTGCACTTTGAAACCTGTTTTCAAAAGGTCGCATTTTCATGCCCCCAAAACGCTGTTGTCGTGTAAATGAGTGGCCAAAACGTTTTTAGTTGAAAACAATGTAGTGTAAAAAGCCCCTTAAAGGGATACATTTTGAGATCATTAGAGGGTCAAGCAACAGCACTTGTAGTATTATGTTGATTAATATGAATATTGACTACCTCATTTTCATTTAAAAAAGCATTGCAGTAAAGTATCAACACTCTCCAAGTTGATGACAATAGTAACTGTACATTTTGAAGAATTGGTGGTGAATTTGTGAAAACCTACACCCCACTGTGCGTTTGGTTTAGGGGTGGATCTTCATGTTTATGTTTTTTTCTAAACATCATATGTTTTTGTACAAATCAGGCTGTGTTTTGTACAAATCGGCCTAAGCAAGTCGTAAGTCGACTTGCTTAGGCCGCCTGCCGGAAGCTTGTCATTTTATTCGATGAAGTTTTAAATATGGATATTTTGCTTACTTTTTATTGACATGGCAGATTGTATCAAAAATGACAGTGCTCTTACAACAGAAGTTAGCTCAATACATGAATAAATAACAATTGATATTGAACACGATACAGCAATGAAGACCAAGTTCCAGTTAAAAATCTTCACAATCCCATTATGTCTTTACGTCCTTCATTTATGTGTGTATTCTGAGTGGCAGTTTCTCTCTGCAGATGAGATGAAGGTTATGATACGTGACAACATCTGAAATACACAATCGAGTTTAGAGTTACATTGTGTCTCTTCCAATTAATGTAAAAACTATTATGTTCATGAAGGTCAAAATTAGCAAAAATGAATAGAACCGTGTTAAAAGGAAAAAGTGTTGTAAAGTCATGGTATAGCTTTAATGTTTTTTTTTGTGACGGGGTATGTTTAGGCATCAAGTCATAATAAAAAAAAAATTAAACAATATGGATCATAAATTCTATATCTCTGTTACTTACTTTGTGAAGAAGAGAAGATGAGTATCCTAAACTGAACAGAGCTGCTCACACGTTCTAAAAAGAGAAAAAAACATGATTGTTTGGAAATTATTTTTACAATTTTTATAGACATTTTAATAAAGAAATAATTGACCTGTTGAGAGAGTATGTTGATAGTCTGTGTAGTAATTGTAGTTGTATAGCTGAACTCCAGAAAATCAGTAATGAGGAGGCTTTGCCAGTTACATATTTGGAAAACAAAAAAGCGGGAATAAAGGACCCAAACTCTAACACAAATAACAACTTAAGCATATCAAGGGTTCCTCAGGACGATACGGTACTAAATAGTTTTGGGGCCTGAGAGTGTAGAGTGAGGATGACTTGAGGGTGGGCAAATTTTCATTTTTGGGTGAACTATCCCTTTAAATAGATCATGCATGGTCACAATACAATAAACAAGCCAACTTTCATAAAATTGAAATGTATACTGTATACATTTCAATCTATATTTTAGCGTGCAAACAATCAGTTTTTGTAATATGTCCAAGGGAACTGTGCAACGAGGGAACCAGAGATTAATCAAAGATCAAATAAAGGAAAATGACATGGAACAGAAAACAGTGAAGAAGACATTGGGTGCCCTGTTTGTTACAGCAGAATCTGGAGATCTCAAATAGGTTTGTTATCAGAAGTTATTCTGGGGTACGTTTCCCGTACAACAACGTAACTCACTGCTTTACTACTATAGTGCGATGCATCGCTGAAGAAATTAAGTAGTCACGACTGTTTCCCGAAACCTCACTGTCGCAAAATGGCCGTTCAGCCACGTTGGTTAATGATGTGACGCACGTGGTGGAGTAATAAACTTTGTTTGAGATCAAATTAATGCTAATGTTTTGCTATACATTATGCACATGGCCTCTGACGACTATTTCTCATTTTCTTTAGATATTTTGCTTTATTTAATGTCAGCTTGCTTATTTGGCTTAAGATACAGTTATATTAAGTCCACGTCATTCAAACAAGAAACTTTGCTTCTGACCACAGGATCGAGAGCTGTCGTTCCAACCACACAACTTAGCATTGCTTTTTGCGAATGTTTGTTTGAACTGTGTTTTCGAGAAACAGAGACTCGTTGAACTATGTTGATAACGACGGAACTTGCGACCATAGTTGGCAAACGGTGCTTACGGGAAACGCACCCATGCACGTGACATCATTAACGACAGTCAATATTGTTGAACCAAATGTGGTGCAACCATGTTACTACAGTTTCGGGAAACAGTTGTGACTAGTTGATTAGTTTCTCCAACGATGCATCTTACAAGTTACATAGTTGTACAGATAAAATGCACCCCAGAGCGTTAAAAAACAACACATTCTCATCCCAAGACGTCATCTAACTGACGCTTTTGACCATACGTCAACATCCAATGTTTTAGGGTACCCTTTAACGTCAGTTAGATGATGATCCTAGGGCGTCATCCAACTGACGCCTTACCTTTAGCGTCAGTTAGATGACGCGGGTAGGTTTAGGTCTGGGGTAGGGTCTAACTGACGTTAAAGGGTTAGTTCACCCAAAAATGAAAATTCTGTCAGTATTTACTCACCCTCTCGTTGTTCCAAACCTCTATGTGTTTATTTGTTCTGCTGAATACAAAGGAAGATATTTGGAAGAATGTTTTAATCAAACAGATCTCAATCCCCATTGACTACCATAGAAAAAATACATACTATGGTAGTCAATGGGGAATGAGATCTGTTTGATTAAAACACTCTTCCAGATATCTTCCTTTGTTTTCAGCAGAACAAATAAACACATAGAGGTTTGGAACAACGAGAGGGTGAGTAAATACTGAGAGAATTTTCATTTTTTGGGTGAACTAACCCTTTAAAGGGTACCCTAAAACATCGGATGTTGACGTATGGTCAAAACCATCAGTTATATGACGTCTTGGGATGAGAACGGGCTGTAAAAAATGTGAAAAATAACATGTTTTTGGACAAATCAAGCATGAAAACCTATTCTAGTAGACCCTGAAAGCAAAATCAAGACTGAAAAAAGGGAATAAAAGGCCTTTAAAAATCACTTAGCAACTAAATAGCAACATCTTGGCAACCACCCACAACAACTAGCGTCATGGCTGTGAGCTTTGTATGGACAATCACCAAAAAGTGTTGTGAGAAGAGAGTGGAAATAAACCAAATTTCACAGCATCGCGTGGGCCTGAAACCTGTCCTCATAATGCGCACCATACACTTACTCATGCGCTTGCTGATTAAAACATAGAAAGCAGATAAAGGAGGTTGTTTGGCTCAGCAGGAAGTTGCCGAAAGAAAAGGGGAAGGAGGGAGAGATAGACAAAAGCAAGAGAGAGTAGTATTCCTGGTTGAGATATGACCCCTAGGAAACTGGTGGTGATGGACTCTGTTGGAAAATATAGCAGCTGATTTGCACTGAGAATGGTTTGCCTGGAAACTGTCGCACATTTTTGGATGCAACTGCATTTCACATACCGAAACCATTTAATTGACTTCATTGATTAGCTTTTGCTGCAAGATGCAAATGGGAGAGAGAGAAAGAAAGTGAGAATGAGCTACAGAGAAAGACAAGTGAGAAAATTCTGCAGTGGAAGGAGAAGAAAGACACGCTCCCTTAAGCAGAAACAGATGAAGTCCTGAGGAGTTCGTGTTCATGCAAACTATGCAGTATAAATTCATTTCAAATGTTTAGAGAAATGAATGTAATGTAGGCTAGAAAACCTGTCAGTAACTCTCAGTGGTAACACTTTATTTTTAGGTGATGTATAGTTACATGTAGTAATAACAGTAAACTATGCATAAATGATGCATTATTACAAGTAACTAACCCTAAACCAAACCCTGACCATTTAGTGCATGTAGTTCATTAATTTTACTCAAGTAAGTACAATGTAACTATGTTACCTTAAAATAAAGTGCAACTTTACATTTAAAGCCCCCCCTGTGGTGAAAATCCAGATTTTAATGTTGTTTATGTGACTGTGTGCTGTTTTTAATATGCTTTAAGACAAACCATTTGCAAATACATGAGTTTTTTTTTTCTCTTTAAAACTGCAGTGAACCATAGAAAGTCTCAAAAACACGATTTGAAATGTTTCTGACGTCACACACTACCTTGTAACCAATCAGGTCAGCTTGTGATTGTCAACGAGTGGATCTCTGAGCGGGTGTGAGTGAGTGGAGGTGGGCTAATTTGCATATTTATAGAACTGCGTACACTAAATGAGGCAAGGGTGTAGGTTACATTCAAACTATTTTAGAGCATGATGGTTTTTTCAAAGAAATGTAATTTTAGTGATCAGTTTTAAAGGATAAATGATTGACTAGAGGGGGACTTTAAAACTTAAAACTGGGAACAATAAAATATGCAATAGAGTCAAAAAGCCACATTACTGACTGTAACACTGACACTTTTGTTGCACTCAAAGCTGCAAGTTTTCTACCATAAATGTGTCAAAAGCATTGCAGATATAAATGGCAAAACAGACACTGTACACATAGAATATGTAAAATCACACAGTCTTGTGACTCTCACTCTGTTTCAAGAAAGCCTGTATGGCTTATGATGGGGTTTTCATCTTTAGTGAATACACTCGAGAGTCTTCATGAGGTACACTGTTGTTCCAACGTCCTCCAGACGTGTTTTCATCATCATCTCGCCATACCCTTTTTCTGTCAGTGTCTGCCATCTGGTATAAAGGTGGCAGCAGCTTCAGGGTAGGCCTACTGATCATGTTCATGTTGTCATGGTAGGGCGAGATGTGCGACAGGATGCACTCCACCACCTCCGACTGACTAAGCACTTTGAACATCAAGAAAAGCTGCCCTGAGCTGGCTCGCTTTTAAAATCAACCCTCATGTTTTAAAGTTGTGCTTGCACATGCATTATGAGAGTTCAGCTTCAGCCCTTCACGAACAGTCACGTCATCTCTTTGTTCAGCATCTTTTCTCTCAGTGGGTAATATTCACTCTTGTCAGATTCTGTCAAACAGAGATAATTCAGGTTCTTTTAAAGCATAATCATTTTATTGAGAAAGCCTGTATTATTGTAAACACTATCCTGGGAACAGTTTGATTTGGATGATTTGGCTCATTTGGATACAATTTTGCAAAAATATTAATGGTCCGTAAACTTGCAGTGTTAGGCAAGTGGATAATATACACAAAATAAATAATACTGTTTTCTCCATAACAAACTATATAGACATATTTGGACAGTATAAGAAGCTTTATTATTTCGACTGCAGCTTAAATATGTTTTATTAAAAAGCGTAAAACAAAATCCTACATTCACCCAGAAAGAATAATGTTAGACAACCAGATAATTATGGTAAGACAGTGTATCATTTATTAGGTAAAATATGGTTATTTTAAATAAAAGAAGTAACAGAATGCACATGTAACGCATGGCTGTAGTAAGCGCACAGTAGTAGTAACAGTCCTTAATAACAAAACTCAGAAGACACATTAAATTTACAAAAATACAGGCACAGGGTGAAACCAAACTAAGGGTCTGTTTACATGACAACGTTATCGATATGATTAAAACTGAGAGGTTTTTCTTTAAAGTTTTCCGCTTACAGACACTGTCAAATCGATCCCCATTTACACAGATCTGTGAAAACGACTGAAAACGCTGTATTCTGCTGCCAGGCCATTACACTGAACGTGTAATAGGCATGTGCATGACGTCATTGTCTTCAGAGATTCACTTTTTGTTGTTTACATGGAGACCGTTTTCAAAAAAATGCGCTTTGAAACCTGTTTTCAAAAGTTCACGTTTTGAGCCATCAAAATCAAGTGTAGCGTCAGTTCTGGCAGGTCACGTTAGTCAAGCTCGCGCCAGCTGACTCTCAGCTGATCCACGTCTACCTATAGGAATACGACACCTATCACTGTATACATACAGTATATAAGCTCATTCAGTATTACCAGCAGCTATCGCATTTCTCGGGAGCTGATTACCCTCCTCCATCCCCAGCTCCTCTTCTCGCCAGTCGGATGTGGCATTCTGATTCCCCTTTTTCTGAATCAGAAAAATTATCGAAACGTACGTTGTACGTTAAAATCTTATATTAATGATATCTGCTTACATTCATGTTGGTTCTGTTCTGTTTACAATTGCTGCTCTCCCTGCTTTTATCCATGCTAGGCTGCATGGATGCGTAGGGAGTTCTTGGCCTGAACGGAACCATTCCGCCAATCGAATCCTTTCACCCGGATCAGTGAAAACGACTAAAACCGCTGTATTATTCATGCCAGGCCAGTAGATGGCGATGTCACGTTTGTAAAGAAACACTACACTCCTGTAAAATGAACACGCATGACATCACCATTTTCACAAATTTGCTTTTTTGTAGCTTACACAGTGACGATAACAGTATCATTTTAAAAACTTTAAAAAAGTTTTTATTTTCAGGCCCCCAAAACGCTCATGTCGTGTAAATGAACAGCCAAAACGCATAAAAAGTTTTCAAATTTTAGTTGGAAGTGGTGTCAAATACACGGCCTAAACAGAATCACAATACTGACAACACCATCATTCAAAAGACATTTCAGTTTAAACAAATAATAATAAAAAAAAAAAATCAGCAAGGACACATTAAATTGATCCAAAAAATGGTTAAGATTAAAGTTTATATTTATGCTGTTCTTTTAAGATTTCTATTACTCAAAAAATTCTGAAAAATATAATATCACTTTTCCCACAAAAATATTAAGCAGGAAAACAGTTTTCATCATTGACAATAATATAAAATGTTTTTTTAAGCATCAAGTCATCTTATTCAAATTATTTATGAAGGATCATGTGACATCGAACAGGAGTAATGATGCAGAAAATTCAGATTTGATCACAGGAATAAATACATTTTAATATATAGTCAAATATAAAACAATTATTTTAAACTGTAAAAATATTTCACAACATTGCTCTTATTTTTTATCAAAGAAATGCAGCCTTGGTGAGCATGAAAAAAAGGTTTTTATAAAACATATTACCAACCACATAATTTTGAACGGTAGAGTATTGTACACAATTTAAACTGGACTTTTTTTTTCTTTTCTTTCTGTTTTTCTTTCTTTCTTCGCTTTGTTGGCTCAATAAACAATTAAACTTGTGAAAAAAAAATATACAAACAAATCTTGAAGAGATTTTGCTCGTTTGGATGCGATTCCTTCGGTTGGGGATGTTGGAACATTAGAATATGTTAATTATACTATCATGTTTGCTAGATGCTTAATTTTTCACCTAATGTTTTCATTACATTGCTTTATTTGTGCATAAACACGAGTTTGAGAGCGCCTGTGTTTACCCGCAGAGCAATCCGGGTTTTATTTGACACACATTGAGTATATTAACATGGCAAACATGTTCCCCTTTGATTGACATCTTTAGTGCGCATCAGTTTGGCAACAGCCCTGTATTTATAGCTTCACAAGAGAGTGATTACAACACCCGGAGGATGACAAAGTTGCTTCTATCTATGACTCTTTATCACCATGGTTACACCCTGCCATCCCAGACCCCTACGGCTCTATTGCACATCTGTGTTTTCTTCATATAAATTAGTAATCAGCCCTTGTGTTTGTTAGAGACGCTGAGGCTGATTAATGCAGGAGAATCAATTTGGCTCTCAACTGTTTTTGCGCTCATACTGAGAACTATAGGGCTACAATATAACCTAATGTCCTTTACGGGACAACACTAAGATTGTATATACTGTATCATACGTTTACATATACCAACATTCATAATGAATTATTGATTTAAGTGTCTGCAGAGCACTAAAACATTTAGTTTGCCTTTTGTTTATAGATTGTTCCAAAGCATATTTGACCTCAAGTATATTATCTTAAAAGCTCTTTCCAGCATAATGTTGTTGTAATGAAATGATCTTCACATGTACCTCCAGAAAACCACTCTCCTCGAATCACCGCTCTCATAGGACGCATTGCAACAGGCCATTACTGTTCATTTCAACAACAAAGAGAGTTCAGAAAATGTTATTTTGCTCACACATTAATGTTGGTGTTCTCTAGTTGTGCCTTTTAGTGAATTCAGTACTACATTTACACACCTATGGTAAAAGTAGCAAGAGCAGTTTGTTAGGATGCAGTTCTGAATACATTTCAAAGTTAGCATCTCTGGAACCGTGTTACGTGTTAAAACTGATGATGAAACTAACCGTGAAAGATTTTGGCCATTATTTAACATCTAAAAAAGTGGTTGTCAACTAGAGCAACCTAAAAATGCCCGCAACTCTGTTCTGAAAGGGGTCATGTAAACAATGCTAAATGCTAATAATAAACTGCAGCTAACAATATAGTGTAACGCTTAGCACATAAAAGAGGGGCAAATAAAATTTACTATATAAATTTCGCTATATAAATTTACTAGTGTTGATGATGAACAAACTCTGTAATACTTTCTCATTTGATAGGCAAAATATCCCAGACAGCAAACTGACATTGAATCAACGTGGAAACGACGTCTCTCATGACAGTGAAACAACGTTGATTTTGCTCATCGAATTAACGTTGAACCAACGTCAGACGCGGCATTCTTCAAAGCTAAATGAAAATCGAAAATTGGTTTGCTTTCATAACGTTGAAACAACGCGTTGATTTCAAGTTGATTTTCCGTTAGTTTTGAAAGAATGACGCGTCTGACGTTGGTTCAACGTTAATTCGATGAGCAAAACAATGTCAGATCAACGTTGTTTCGATGTCATATTTCCACGTTGATTCAATGTCAGTTTGCTATCTGGGATATTAAAGTGTATATTTAGATTAAATGCAATTACTTGAATTTAAGAGCGTTTTTTTTTTTTTTTTTTTTTTTTTTTTTACCTAAGTACGACTTGTAATTTCACATTTACTTCTATTGTCTTTGAAATAGGGTTAAAGTCTCCTGCCGAAGGATGAGCCTTTATGACAAACTAAAATGTACTTTAATTTCATCTCCATTGAAGCTTGAATGCGTTTAAATATAGACTATTTGTACGTTTGCCTTTGAAATGATGACGCAATTTAGAACATTTAAAATACTGTATAATATTAACTTTAAATGTGATAGTAACACCCCTCAGCTAATAATTAAGTATATTACATGTGCTTTAGTATATTAGTGTACTTCTCTAAAGTACAAAAAAATTAAACATATTTTTTAAAATACTCTTTAAAGTAAAACATTTAATTTAACATTATTGTAAAAACAGTCATAAAAGTGTACATTTAAGTAACCTTTTATTTCAGATTCAATAAGATTAGATTATCTACAGTATACTAAGTACAGTTTTTTTATTTTTTATATATTCTTTTAAAATTTGAAGTACAGTATAAGTGCACATTCGATACAATTAAGCTTCTTTTCCACAAGGTTAAGCCCAGTATTTGTCTTATACGTTTGCCTGGTAAATTTGCACTTCTGCTTTGCATACAATATTGTAAACAGTCCCATTCATTTATTATCATGTCAATTATTAGTTGGGCCTGTGCAATTCATGGTAATATTAATCAATTGCAATGTTTTGTTACTTTTGTGTGATTACCACCCAGTCTCCAGTATACAACCTTGGTCCTCAAGCAAAACCATCTGAGTACCAATGTAAAGTAAAGCCCTAAACATAGCCTTCCTTCCAAGCATTGAGAGGGCATGTTTAGCTTCCTTCTCATTGTTTTGTTCAAGCTACAGCTGATCCTTGGGGTTTAGCTGAGGACATGTTATCAGGTTATGTTTGTTCTATGTGTCTCTTGCAGGCGTGGTTACAGAGGTATGGCTACCTCCACCATACACAACCTAACATGGCCGTCCTGCGATCAGCGCAAACCATGCATTCTGCTATTGCTGCCATGCAGCACAAGTATGGACTAAACATCACAGGGACCCTAAACAAGGACACTGTAGAGTGAGTACTGCTAAGCACACATACATACTGTAAAGTGTCCCATTACACTGAAGCAACACACTATAACAAAACACCCTTTGTGAAAATGAAGTGAACTTTTAAAAAAGGGAACTTATTACGGAAATAATATTGTGTATTGTTAAATGTGTATACCAGTAAGCTAAAATATACTTTAAATGTAATTTTTATTGAAACTTGCACTGTATTTAAATGTATTTTTAAATACACATTTGTAATGATGAGGATGCAGTTTAGCACATTTAAACAACTATTTTAACTTTAAATGTAATATTGAATACGTGATTAAAATTATAATCACATATTTTATTTGTTAATACTTTACTAGTTCTTTACATGTGCATTAGTGTGTTAGTCAACACATCAAGTGATCTTCTTTAAAGCACGACAAAAGATTATTAAAACTGTGAATTTTACATGATTACAAAGTGTACTTTTTAAAAGTTCGCCTTTCAAAATGCCAAAAAGGTTATTAACCCTAAAGTGCTATTATTTCAACTCTGTTGCAATAAGTCTAGAATTCATGAACAGCTGTTTCACATTGTTACATTCCAAATGTTTCAGGGTTGAATGTTGCTGAGTTGAAGGTCAACATTAAATTGCTACTGTAGAACTGGTCTTAAAGCAGCACTATGTAGTTTTTTCAATCTTTATAATATTTTTCCAAAACCCTTGAGATGGTACATCGACTTACAATAGGTGGAATGACAGGTCTGCCATAGCCTGACGTGGTCTGTATCGCTTTTCCTGGAACTATGTAACTTTGGGCAGTGGGTAGGAACCCGAGCACAAAAAGAACTACAAAATTCGACTGCTTTACGGCATATGTCACTCCCCCTACTTCCTCAAATCTTCCAATGCGAGAGCCCAACAAGCGTTTTTACTGTTGATAATATCCCTCGCCGCATCCAGTGTAGACTGCATTGTTTTCTTTTGAGGGCACTTAACACACTCAAGCATCCCCGTAGAGCCGGGGCGGGCAGCTCACGTCAGCTCAAGACGTTAAAGTATACTGATTACTGAGTTTGGTAGGAGCTACATTCTTGCAAGTAAATAATACATGATTAGACGGACAAAATAATCGGTCAGGATAACTATCCTATCCTATGTCTGCAGGCTGATAGACATGTTTGTTACTTATTTTTCTGGTGAAAGTGTCTTGCCTCAGGCTATAATGCAAATCGATTTTTCACATTTGCAGACTCATCTATGGTAGCTTGATATTATAATATTGACGACATGGCTATTATCTACCAACAAACATTGAACTGAATTAGCATATCCATTATGTAAAACAGTAGCCAATAGGCTAAAGTTACTATTAAGACGCTGGCTTGTAAATGTGAGCTATGCGATCTTTTGACGTTTGATAAAAATAAAGCCCATGAAACTATTTATAAGACATGCTGAAATATATGCCAATGTACCTGGGATGAAGACATTTCATGCAACACTGGAGTCTGCCCAAGATGTGAGAACTCCTTCCTTCTGCAGAGTATCGCTTGTCAACAAATGCACATGTCTATTCCCTAGTATAACCATGACAGATTTTACGACAGTAGTAGAAGAGAATACTGTTTCCCAACTTTAGGGGGACCCCAAGAGCAAAATGTAAAAAACAACATAATGCTGCTTTAACTATATTATAGTATCATCACACCATGTGTAAACATAATGACATGTATAATGAACCATGTACTGTAGTACAAAAAACGTGGACTGAAAGAAATACTGAAACCATGATATTTTTATTCCAGTAAAAGTTTTCTAAATAAATATTCTATGTAACCCAATTCAACTGTAATAGAGATGAATAAGGAAGCAAGCAAGTTGGCTGATTTTCCAAAAATTCCATAAAACACAAAGCATTAACTCTATCAAACAATATGACGAAGTCCAGTATCTGTTTTCCATGGTCATTTTGGGCACAAATGACACAAATGTTTCCTGGAAATGAGCCAACAATTAAAATATCTCACTTTTTCTTTGGACTGAAAGTTTCAACCCTGGTCTCTGATGTTTAGCTTGGACACCACATGCCATTTTCCAATCTAAAATATTTGGAGTACATTTTCTACTGCTTGTGTAAGTGATTTGAAGAGACAAGCAAAGTGTTATAGAGCACAACACTCTCTGTTTGACCTTGTGTGAAGCCTTTAAACAGTTATTTTTACTTGTTGTTATGGTTTAGTGATAATTAAGATCAGGCCTTGTTATTCACATTCAGTGATATAAACAAATATATCATCTTTTATCGAAAGATCCTGTGGAGTAGGTTTGCAAATGCTAATTAACGTTAGCTGTTATTGTGAAATTTCATCTCTTATGTAATGTGCAGTAAAAGAAGACAACAGCGGGTGTCAAGAGCATTTCATGAAGCTAGTGAAATTGGTGCTGAATGTCTTTGACATTGTTACTTTCTTGTTTTTTTTTTCTATCTAGTCTTAGTTTTCGTTTTCATTGTTTGGTTTATTCCTAATCACTCATCTGTTGTCATAGTTTCTAATTCACTACTCATCTGTTCCCTATTCCTTTGATCGGTCTCCCTGTGTATTTTAGCCCTTAGTTCCTTTTGTTCAGTCTTCAGTCTAGTTAAAAATCAGTGTGGTTGTACTAAACGTGTTCCTGTGATCTCCTGCGTGTACTTTGTTACATTTTTGGATTTATTAAAGACTGTTTTGGTTGTCTTTGTGCGCTCAATACAGCCACAATGTGACAGAAGACAAGAAATAGATCTTCCTGCGGTCAGATTGGTCTGCTTAGGGCAGAAAATATAACACCCTCGAGGACCACACGAGTGACTTTTTAGACCTGGCATGCCTTACCACCTTCTCTGACGATCCCTGTGTGTTTTTCCTGACCAGGTTAAATGAGCGGTGTAAGGCAGGCCTAATGGTCCTCGAGAGAAATTTACTGCATTTGTGGAGTGGGTGCTAGCTAGCAACAACTCTCCTATGACCACCTGCCTCATGGATGAGGGCAACGCCAGCCACACTCCTGACCCAGAGACACAGCTGCCAGTCACCAACAACATAGTGTTTATGCCGGAGTCCACCGCAGACCCGGAGGCCGACCCCTCTATGGATAGAGAGCCAGAGCCGACACCTGAGCCATACTTCGCCCAGGAGCCTGAGCCCAATAGTATGTCTGACCAGGTGACATTGTCAGTATCAGTGGGCGTCATCGAGGGGTTTGAGGGAATGGAATAGAGCCCTGCCTATACTCTTGTTGCTGAGGTTGAGTTTTGCAAGGTTTCTGTGTTTGAAGAAGAGGGATTTCTCCTGATTCTCCCTTCCCATCCGGTCTCACTAAGCTCCAAATCTCCTGCATCTCAATTGGTCCCTCCCTGCTCCAAATCTCCTGCATCTCCATTGGTGCCACCCAGCTCCACGTTTCTTTCGTCAATGATGGTCCCACCTAGCCTCCCTCTCCCTCCTCCTCTACCTAAGTCCTTCTTCCCGCTTCCCCTGGTTCCCTTGGCTGTTTACTTCACTCAGCTGTGTGGATCCACCTCGAGTCTTCAGGTCAGCAGCTTTGCTTAGGCATGTGGATCCCCTGTTTTGGCTTGGGCTGCTAAGTCCATCACTCCACCTTGGCCCGTCAACCAGTCGGCTCCACCTTGGGTCCACCCCCAACGGCTCCACCTGAAACCATCGTCCTTACGTCTTCAGAGAGCTTCCTTGACCTTCCAGCTTGGCCTTGGTCAGTTGTCACTCTTCCTGTACCCTTCGGCTATGCCTCGTCCGTCCTTCCTCCACACTCTTCTGCTCTGTCTGGCTCCTCTTTCCCTCTGGCTCAGCCTTGGTCCTCAGTCACACCAGCTATGCCTCAGTCCTCTGGCACCCTGTCTTCTCCTCGGCTATGTCTGGCTCTACATATCTCCTGGCTACCTCTGATTTCACCCTGGGTCCTGCCACCATTGTTTCCCCTTGTCCTCCTTGCAGTGCTCTGGGTTCTGACCTGGCTCCTCCTGCATTCATCTCCTCTCTGGCTCCTCATTTTTCCTTGGTTGTCCCGTCTGCCAGTTCTCCGTCCTCCTCCCAAGCCCCCGCCCATTCTCCTCTTGTTTTGTAGTTTGCACGAGGACATACCTACCCGCGGAGGGGAGGGGTAATGTCACATCCTTGTCTTGTTTTGTTCTGTCTAGTCTTAGTTTTTGTTGTCATTGTTTGGTGTAGTCCTAATCACTCATCTTGTTTCTAGTTCCTTTGTGTATTTAAGACATTTGTTTCCTTCGTTCAGTGTTGTTTATTTTAGTGTGGTTGTGCGAAACTTTCCTGTGATCTCCTGCATGTTTTTTGTTAACTTTTTGGATTTATTAAAGATCTCCTTGGTGCGAACACAATGTGACAGTCATTTTTTTGTGTTAAATATTTTTATGCATCTCCAGCACATCTCCATCTCCAGTATGTATATATATATATATATATATATATATACACACACACACACACACACACAGTAAACACAAGAACACAGAATTCTAAAATTCTGATGAATGAACACAGAACTGGCTATTTTTAATTCCATTAACTCTTTTATAGTTATGCCTTAAAGGTTGGACTTTAGCTAACCCAATGGTGTTTTTTAGGGCCCAAGCCCTGAAAGGGTGAAGGCCCTATTGTTTTCCTTAGGATTATTATTATTACGACTATTCGGGCACTTTTGGGGCCCTTAACGTGCTCGAAAACTCTTGAAACTTTGCACACGGGTCAGAACCCATGGCCATCAGGGCCGGGCTGAAGCAGGTCCTCGGGCGTGGCAGGATGGCTCGACAGCGCCCCCTGGACTGGGATTCAAACTTTTGTCCATAAAACAAACACACATGAATGAATTAATATGAAACTCGGTACACATATAGATCACATCAGGCCAAACAACTTTCGTGCTCTAAGTTTTACGACAGTTCAAATGGAAGTCGGGAATTATGGGTTGTTTGAATAAATGTCCTAGGAGAAATACATCAAATTACAACCCATGCTGTTACCAATCACCACCAAACTCGGTGTGCATGAAGTCAAGACATTGAGGATGCTAAATTCCGGACGGATTTTCGATATCTCGAACGGTTTGGCCGAGGCGAGGAAATTAATTTTATGACTAAAAAAGGACACATAAAGTGTGTTATAACTTAGTTAGTTTCACTGACAGTTACAAAGTTGGCGTGTATATTGTTCTAGTCAAGCCAAACAACTTTCTAATTAACAATAATAAGCTCAAACCAACAGAAAGTCAGATATTGTAGTTTGAAAGTGGATTTTGTCTCAGAGAGAGACATTGAGAGTTCTCCCAGCCATTCTGTGTGTGTGTCTGTGTGGGGAGGGGAGGGTGGGGGCTGGTGTCTCTGTTTATGTGTGTGGCTATATATATATATATATATATATATATACCACATATATACGAGCAGCAATTACAACCCCGGTTATAGCGCCACCAACTGACTGCACGATGTGTGTCACTTTCAAAATACTTTTAAATAACCCTCTTATTTTTTTACCTGATTTGCTTCAAACTTCACTACTAAGGACGCACCGATACCATCTTTTTCAGAATTGATCCGATCCGATACCAAAAAGTTTGAGTATCAAATGATAACGATAACGATCTGAGACCAGTGCAGTTTTTTTTTTGGAGATCAAGTAGAATTTCTATAACTCTGTGTGTTAAACTAATAATCACTCTTGTGTGTGTTAAACACAATCTACTAAATACAGACAACTTCATTATAAAGATAAACAACAATTCTCAAAAATATATGATCATAATTAATGACAAAAAAATGCTATTATAAACTAGATTAGTGGATAATACACATTGCTCTTTATATTGCTCTAAAATACATTAATGAAAAACAAGATGACAAAAATCAACATTATCTATCTATGCAATACTTAATTGAGCCTTTTCTTTTAACAGTTTTAAATTTAAGTTACTGTGCGTGTGAAGAACAATTATAGAGCTCTGACTCTACTCTTGTGTTATGATCATCCGGTAGAAAGTAACACGATTAAGTTACAGCAAGTCCAGCAAGATAGAGTTTCTTTATTCAAAACCATAGACCTTTATCTACAGATCAAGTATAATAGTATTAACATTGAATCATCTTGAAGATAATTTCATCATTGACTAACCGAATGTGACGGGCTGTTTTTGTGCCTTTTGTGGGGCTTAACAATAACTTAGAATAGTATACGCACAATGCAGGATTTGAATCAGTCTCGACTCTCGTCTGATCGATAACCGATCCGGGAAAAATGGCAGTATCGGAGCCAATACTGATCCTCGGATATCGAATCGGCGTAACCCTAACTACTATAATGTAAACACAAGTAGATGTAGACCTGGATGTACACCTGACCTTTCAGAAGGCTGCTCACGCATACTTTGTGGTTGATATATGCCCTCGATGCGCACTTTTGCAGAGCCCTCACTGATGCAAGCTCTTCAACACACTTCTTTTCGACAGTCAAAGTGGGGGTTACTATTTTTGCACAACCTGCAGAATAACCCTAAAGGCACCATGGGTGATGGTGCCACTGGTTAATATATATATATATATATATATATATATATATATGAAGAGTTCAGATGCAAAAGCCTCTAAATGCCATTTGAAATTTTCTTCTTTAATGATGATTTTTATCAAACTTGTATATTTAAGTTCAGTAAATTCACTTAAATGGCAATGATACTTACCTATTAACTGTTATTTAAGTGAAATTACTGAACTTAAATATACAAGTTTGATAAAAATCATCATTAAAGAAGAAAATTTCAAATGGCATTTAGAGGCTTTTGCATCTGAACTCTTCATATATAGCTGCGAGCAGGGATTGCGGGCCAAAGCCGGGGTTGCGGTGCCACCGGCTTGGGCCCGCAATCGCTGCTCGCAGCTATATATATATATTTTTTTTTTTGGATGAAGGGCAGAAATAACCTCACTCTTTTTCTCTTCTCCTCTAGCTGGATGAAGAAACCCAGATGTGGGGTGCCAGACAAGCTTGAGGGTGTATCTGGATCCCGCAGGAAGAAGCGTTATGCACTAACTGGACAGAAGTGGCAACGCACACACATCACATACAGGTTAGAGAGAGACATGATGTCTCTGTGCACTTTACAATAAGGTCCCATTAGTTAAAATTAGTTAATGCATTAAACTAATAAACATTAAATAAGAAAGAGCAATACATTTTTTACTTAATGTAGTCTTTATGAATCTTTGTTAACATTAGTTAAAGAAATCCATGTTAGCTAACATCTATTAAATAATATTAATGTAACCATACATTTATTTTCCATAATGATATTAATGAAAACAAATGTTATAATCTGAATTTCAATGCATATGACATGCATATTTTAATGTTACAATTATTATTCAATATACATGGACAGTCTTACCATGACTTACTTCAACATATCGTCTCTGTTGAGCGATAACATTGCATGTCCAACTGGTACATCTCAGGTAAGAGAAAAAAACACTGTATTTTCTTAAATAATTAAACACTGTCGGTGCATTTGAAATCACATACTGTCTGAGTAGTTACCTTGTATTCAAATTTACCGGATTACTGTAAAACTTACCGTAAAAGGATGTTCTCTAGTATGAATGTGTGTAGTATGAATGCAATCCAAGGAATGAATACAATCCGTGGCCTCATGGGATAGTAAAGTGTCCATCGAATGCACACTCCACATAGGTCATCTGCTCTGTTGGCGTACTTCACTTATTATATAGTAGGGAAGTGTTCACAGTGGTTTAAAGTATTTGAGTTATTGTAATTAGTTACTGTCCCTGAAATCACATACTGTCTGAGTAGTTACCATGAATTCAAATTTACCGGAATGCCGGAGAATTTACCGTAAAAGTAAGTTCTATAGTATGAATGTGTGTAGTGTGAATGTAATCCAAACTTACTATATCCACTATGTTGTTACTGGCATTGAAGGTACTAAATCTTGTGCGTTTTGCCCTTACTCACCCAAACTTGTCATCAAAGCTACTTTACGTGAACGCGAGTGCATTAGCAGGTAGTTGTCAATTGGCCAAAATTGTTTCCTCGGTAATCACTTAAAATAAGTGGACTGTAACTACATAAAGTTAAGGCTAAAAGGTTTGGTTACTATTATTTGAGATGAGGAGGAACAGTTTACTGAACCTTGATCAACCAACACCTAATAGTGTGGAACAGCAGACGTTCCTCAAATCGTCCCGTCTCTGCCATCCTACAGTGGATCCTGTACTGCAATGAAGACACAGCCAAGCATATAATAACCTCCAGCATTCACTCTTTAACCTTCAAGAAACATATTTGAATTCCCTGAAGATTACCTTCTAAAGGGCTCGGAGGAAATAGAGTGTTCTCTCACCTCAATTTAGACTTTCCCGGTTACAGCGGGCGATAACGGAAATGATTTATTCAAATCCTGCTTTTTTTAATTGATGGGCCACCTATGCAAATGGAATGTAAATGAAGATAGGCTTGGCATTGAGTGACTGGCCTCTATAGAGAAAAGTCAGCTGAGATTTTCAGGGCCTCTCAGTCTGTTAGAGGAAGATAAAGGCTTCAATGTGAGGAATTCAGCAAAGATGCCAGTCTAAGGGCAGTCGGTGGAATTCACTTTGGAAATTAAATGCTTTCTCCTTTCTGTGATATTAACTAATCATAATGGTGAAGGGTGTTTTATATTTGATAGTGGTGGATTTCGATCAGTGGGAAGGTTTTGATGTTAATATCTGATTAAACGGGGAAAAAAAATCTCCAGCCTCTTGGATCTTCGGTTGTTCGGTTGGAGTGAGGTTCACTTGCACAGATCATACTACAGTAGCTGGCCTCCGTTACACACGATTTGAACGTCTCTGGCACGGGAGATTGGCGCGCTAACAAGGATGCTAAAGACTGAATCCTCTAGCGTCAATCGCTATCTCTTTAGGCAGCTAGGGGGCTGAGTTTTACACGCACAGCTCTTACTAGCGGGCCTCCGTCACACCTTTAGGGATTTTTTAATGTTTACTCAAATGGAAAATATAGTCACATCAGCTTAAATTTGGTTTATAATATATAAGCTTTATATATTCAAAAGTAATCAGTAATGTATACTTGTGGAAGCATTTGAAGCTAAACTAAATTTAAATATTGAATGGAAGCTTCTTTCCACCAGGAAATTTTAAAAAAGTAATTGCTGTGTTTATTTCTCACAATTTAGGGCTTTTTTTCTCACAATTGCAAGCATATATTTCACAATTCTGTCTTTATTAAATGCATTATAAGTTAATAGCTCACACAAAAAAAGTCTTGCAATTGGGATAAAAAGTCAGAATTATGATATAAAATGTCACAATTAGCTTTTTTTATTTTTTATTCCATAGTCGAAACAAGCTTCCATAATTTCACATTGATGCAAAATGCTATTTTTCCAGACTTTACACTATACAACTTAAATTTGAAATCATGTATCAGTTAATGAATTTCAATTTATGTAACTTTAAAAAGTTGTCTGACAAAATGGAAAATACTTTATATTCTAGCTCCTTTTAGAAATTAGTTTTTAAATTTGGTAATCATTTAATCACCCTCATGCTGTTCCAAATTTAGTCTTAATGTTTGCTAGAGAGTTCAACTCCACTGCTAAATAATGATTTTCTCTGTTTGTTTTTCTAGCATTAAAAATGTGACTCCCAAAGTGGGAGCACGAGAAACACATGAGGCCATTCGCCGGGCGTTTGACGTATGGCAAGGCGTCACACCGCTACGCTTTGAGGCCGTGCCCTACAGCGCTCTGGAGAGCGGCAAACGCGACGTCGACATCACCATCATCTTTGCCTCTGGTTTCCATGGTGACAGCTCTCCTTTTGATGGAGAAGGAGGCTTCCTGGCACATGCTTATTTCCCAGGGCCGGGCATAGGGGGCGACACACACTTTGACTCAGATGAACCCTGGACACTGGGCAACCCAAACCATGATGGTGAGAGAACGGCAGGTTAGGCCACATTTTCAATTTCAACAATTAACAAACAATAAAGTTGCCATTTCAGCAGGAATGCAAATGTGACAGAGCAGCTAAATCTTTAATGGCATCTGGAGACTTTTACAAGTACCACTGAAAAATAAATGACTTTAGGAAGTGTAATAGCTAAAACCAACAGCAATTCTGCAAAACAAGACTCACTTAAAGTAATTAGTGCTATAATTTACAGGCTGAAATTAGTGTTTTAATGAACTTTTGTAGCTTTTTACACATTAAGATGGAGAATTCACTAAACTGCTGCTGCACCACCTGTTCATAGTATCTCAGCAGGGAATTTTCTACTAATGTACTGAAGACATTAGTAAAGTATGTAATTTGCTAACACCAATAAAATTCTAAGTGTTAACATTAGTTGATGCATAGCATAGATATCATGAATTACTTTTACAGCCATATTTATGCTCATTCACTGGGCAGAGTAATAGAAGTGGATTCTGTACAAATTTTGTTTTACAGACCCCAAGTTAGCACATACTCTACCAATAACATTTACATAAACACTGTTTCTGAACTTGATAAAATGCCTACTTTGTAGTGTTTCAGGAATGAACACATCACAATATTAATCATTTAAATAATTCCTGCCCAAGGCATTTGAAAAAAGAAGCGATGCCTGATTGAGCTGCATTAGAAGTGTGTTCAAACTTGCGGTTATGGTAAGTGGCGGGACATTTCCGAAACAGCCTTGAAGCAGTTAACTTATCACGACACACTGATCCACAACTGACCAATTAGAGTGCATTTGCTTACCATAAGTAGTGACTTCATAGAAAAACACAAACTAAACAGAGCGTCACTAACAGACTGTGAAGAGAGTTGCTGCAACATTGTGAAATATGTGAAAAATTATGTTTGTTTTTCTTCTGAACACTCAAGCATGAAACCCTATCCTAGTAAACACCAAAGACAAAATCAAAACATTATAAAAGGGCATAATCGGTCCCCTTTATAATATCTGTTTTCTATTTTTAATTTATTTTAAAACGTAAAATTTTTCCTCTGATGCAAAGCATCTCAGGTTACGATTGTAACCATGGTTCCCTGAGAAGGGGAATTGGACACTGCATGCGTGGTCATGCCTCTGAATCTGCGAATCACAAGCCTTACGGGCACGTAGCCTACTGATCACGAATCACAGATTAACATCCTTGCGATGTGACTATCGTGAATTCGCACATCGCGATGTTGATGTTAAAGTGATACATCATGCAGCCCTACTTCCTAAGTTAAGTTACACCTGCTTGGAAGAGGCGGAGAATTTTCCGCGCAAAATAGAGGCGCGCTTTCACCTGCTTTTCTGGACATACGTGGAAAACATAATTAAGCGCAGTTTATGCTTACCCTCCCATCTCTTTATGTGACACTCCCACTTTCCCGTTGACCATCCCATGGATGTATATGCATTCAGGCAGTCGCCGGAAGTTCGTACATACCTCACCATGGTTTTATGTGCACTTACAAAACAAATACGCCTGAAGTGGACGCAAAACCATTTGTACATCTGGCCCACTGTGTCTCCCTTCTCAGGGAGCCATGGTTACATCTGTAACCCGTGTCATTCCCTGTCGAATAGGAACTCGCACCCTAGGCACTAATGGGGAACGAATGCCGACGAATGCTGAAGGAATGTGACGTTTGACTGACATAAGTAAGTGACTTCTACGTAACGGATCCGGAGCCACCGTCCTAGCAGTGCTCACCAGCGGTCGTCGTGACTCAATTTCCTAGGGCCAGACACCCTGGCAATATAGAGCTTAGCTCAGGGCCTGGTATTCAAAGAATACCTTAAACTGAATATGGCCAAGAATATATATCCAACCAGTTGCCACAGCGGACACGAGGTCTCACGAAGGGAAACCTAGCAACACTGAGGGGAGCTCTCAAAGCACGTCAGCAAGATAACTCTCTAAAGTGAGAGAAGGCCTAGCTATGGTCTACGCAAAGGACTGCTTACAAGGAGGCTCAAAGGAGCCTAATATATCCAGATGGAGCTCTGGGGGCAGAGGCCTCAGCAGGACTACTTTCTAAAGTGAGAGGAAGCTTAGCAATGCCACCTTGAAGACAGTTAACCAGAGAGGAACCAAAAAGAGCCTAGAACCAAGTCCACGGACTCCATGAAGATAGATTTCAAACCTAACTCCGCTCTACACTAAAAGACTACCTCACCAAGGAGGCTCACAGAGAGCCTCACAACTCAATACTGCAGCTATCCAAGTGGAGCTCTGGGGAACGGAAGTCCCAGCAGGATGACTCTCTAGAGGCCTAACAAATTTCCACCTTATAGACAGTTCCACCAAGGAGGCTCACAGAGATCCATACCACTCAATCTCTCTGTCTATAACGGAATTATGCCGAAGTCAGAACGAGCTCATTACAGGGAGCGGAGGACCTTGACCATAACAGGGAAAGTTCTATTCCATGCTCATCCTAAATGACTAATGGGAGCTACCAGCTAAGGCTAGCTACAACCATTGTAAAACCTTTAAAATGATTTGGTCTCTAGCTCTCTGAGGTGCCGGACAACAGGAGGGGTTCACCCAAGGCAAACAGAGACCAGAAGAGCTCCCAGCTATCCTTGGTCGCAGATCGCAAGAAAGTATCCTCAACTGAGTCACCAGCAACAAACCGAGCTCTCTCATGGGGAGTTAGGAATCCTACTATTGAAGATTAGCATGAAAACAGTGCCATCAAGGGGAGCAAGATGAGTGCTATCTGGAATAAACCGGCCTGCGAGATGGGGAATTGTAACATGCAAAATAGTGTTCAACATTTTTGAGTCATAGGATGATTTGCATATTTCCTTTAGTGAATCAGGGGCTAAAACAAGGCAAGTAAACAATGCTATCATTGGTCTCAATTGATTCTTAAGTTATAAGTCTGTGTGTGCGGTGTTCATGTTTGTGTGCATGTCAGGTGTCAGCTTTGTTTGATAAGTAGTATTTGCATTACGGTTGCGCCCATTAAATGAGAGGTAATCAGATCCATCTCTTCACTGTGAGCCGCACTTAGAGGCACTCAGCTTTAATTACCTGGGCCGACTGGATGCAGAGAGCTTTTAAGATGCTCATCTCCTTTCACAAAATGTCTCAGTCGAGACAGTAATGAATGGCTGCGAATACATTCGCTACTGGCATTTTTACTGCCGCCTGCACTCTTCGGCTGTTTGTTTTGCTGCCGTATCTGATGTTACACGTGCCTGGCATAATAGCTTCCCGTGGTTTCAGTGAGGCTTCATTAGAGTCACCACAGTCCATATGGACATCACTGTGGTTTTCTTTATGTTAAGGCTGATTGCCATCAGCATGTTAACTAGAATAAGCAGCAATTAGGGGATTATGTTTTATGAGTCATTTAGAAAGCCTCCACAACACTGTTACCAGATCTGTTTTGTGAGAGGTCAGTGAAGACGACAAGGTGACACTTTACACAAAGTGCAAAAAAAAAAAAAGAAAAGAAAAAAGATATTTTACCCAAAGATATGACATCACATACTCACCTCTCTTTCACTCTCTTTCATGAGTATACAAGACTTAACTACTTACATTAAATACCTACATGACTATGAAAGTACTTAGTAAATAATTCCCACATTTACTTCTAATGAGTTTGAAGATTGTTACAGTAGGTTTAGGAGTTAGGGTCATAATTGGGGGTTAGAATTAATTTTTGAGGTAAGGGTTTGGGTTACAGTTAGAGGTAAGTAACAGTGTAACAAATTGGTAATTATACAGTGTAACAAATTGGTAATTATATGAGTACTTTAAATGTAATTACAATGCACCAACATGTATGCACATGATAAGTAAATTGTATCAATTGGTTACATAGTTATAAAAAGCGTGACCACTCTTGTCTATACAATGAAAGTGAATGGAGATTTGAGCGTCAAGCTCCAAAAATGTCAAAAATGCACTATAAAAGTATCATAACAATAGTCCACATGAATATAATTGGTTTTATATTGTTTTGAAACCAAGTGAGCTTTGTGTGAGAAACAGATCTGAAATTTGGGTCTGTTCAGATATGTTGTTTGAATAAATATGCTACTGTTCACTTTATAGCACAATTTTAATATGTTTAATTGTTGCGGAAATAATATATATAGTGTATTATACTTAAGTTCCAACTGAGTGTAATGTTTTCAGATAGATTAATCGCTTGTTAAGTGCAATTAAAATTTAATTAAAATGTATGATAAATAAATTTAAAAGTGCTTTTAACTCACTGACTCTAAGTAGGACTTAGTAGGGTCCAACTTTATATGCAATTTCATAATTACTGTCATAATTGTTGTCTTTGAAATTTGATAAAGGTTAACTGCCAGATGCCATGGCAAGCATTTGTGTCACAACTAAAATATACTTTAATTACATTTCGATTGAAATGTGTATGTCATGTATTTAAATGTATTTGTAATTACACATTTGTAATGATGTAGTTGCAATTTAGTATGTATTTAAAATATATATTGAATACCACATTACTGTTGAAATTATAATTATGATACTTTACATGTGCTTTATTATGTTAGGCTCATCAACATGAGTGTACTTTTTATTTAAAATGTACTTTAACATAAAAGTTTGACATTAATATTTTACCTGCACTACATTTAAGACAATTAGGCTGAGAAGGATATCCTGCAGAACATCTTCATTCATCACTAGTTCAGGATAAAAGATATTTCCAGTTTTGTTGTATGATAAAAAGCAATGTGGGAACTGTTTTGCATTCCGTTTCCACAGCTACTGTTTCTGCCCACACACACCGTACACTTGCACATTACAACATTAAGATGGATCAAGCACTTGTGTAGTGAGTCATAATGCCAGATGCTTTTCATAAATAAGAACACAAGCAAAAATAACAACAGCCACAACAAAGCAAATCCTGTGTATTGTATCTTCACTCTTGTTTTCTTCTCCTCAGGTAATGACCTGTTCCTTGTGGCGGTCCATGAGCTTGGTCATGCTTTGGGATTGGAACATTCGAATGATCCTACGGCTATAATGGCTCCATTCTATCAATATATGGACACTGAGAGCTTCAAACTGCCTCATGATGATCTCCAGGGCATCCAGAAAATATATGGTGCGTCTAAACCATTTACAGCATTACTATTACAATTTTTTTTTTCTTTTACAATCGCTAGGACACATTTCTCCATATCCGAGGCATGTCTTGCTGCCCAGGTTATTATATAAACATGGTGGTGAACTTATTTGATTCAGACCAGTAAGCAATTACCTTTCAACCAATCAGAGCAGCCTAGCAACACCACAGCAAACACCCATAATACCCAAACAACCATATAGCTGTCACGGGTGCGGGTTCAGGCAGAAGGACGAACAGGCAGAGTCCAGAAAAGCTCCAATACAAAAGGTTTATTCTCAAATTCACAGGAAACAGGCAGGCGAAACACAGGGTGACATTCACATCGACCGACAAGGACAGACTGAATGGGAAGGAACTAAATACACACAGGAATCAAACTAAACGAGGTGAAAACAGGTGAAACAGATGAATACAGGACGCTGAACGGGAGGCTGATGAGGGAGTGAGTTCAGGTGTGGAGACAAGAGGATCCTGGGAAGTGTAGTGCTGGAGACGCAGACAGGATGGTGCAGACGAAGACTGTGACAGAACTCCCCCCTCCCGGGAGGCGTGACCTCACGCCGCATAACAGAGGAAGGAGGGGGGACGAACTGGGGGCTGGGCGGGGCGTGGCCAGGGCGGAGCAGGCTGAGGGCATGGCCAGGGCGGAGCAGGCTGAGGGCGTCCCCAGGGCAAAGCAGGCTGAGGGCGTGGCCAGGGCGGAGCAGGCTGAGGGCGTGGCCAGGGCGGAGCAGGCTGAGGGCGTGGCCAGGGTGGAGCAGGCTGAGGGCGTGGCCAGGGCGGAGCAGGCTGAGGGCGTGGCCAGGGCGGAGCAGGCTGAGGGCGAGACCAGGGCGGAGCCGGCTGAGGGCGAGACCAGGGCGGAGCATGATGAGGGCGAGACCAGGGCGGAGCAGGCTGAGGGTGAGACCAGGGCGGAGCAGGCTGAGGGTGAGACCAGGGCGGAGCAGGCTGAGGGCGAGACCAGGGCGGAGCCGGCTGAGGGCGAGACCAGGGCGGAGCATGATGAGGGCGAGACCAGGGCGGAGCAGGCTGAGGGTGAGACCAGGGCGGAGCAGGCTGAGGGCGAGACCAGGGCGGAGCCGGCTGAGGGCGAGACCAGGGCGGAGCATGATGAGGGCGAGACCAGGGCGGAGCAGGCTGAGGGTGAGACCAGGGCGGAGCAGGCTGAGGGCGAGACCAGGGCGGAGCAGCTGGAGGGAGGACCCCTGGTGGAGCCGATGGTAGTGGGGCTGACAACACCAGGGGGCCGACTGACAGGGGCGAAGCGGATGGGAGAGGAGACCAGGGTGTAGCTGAGGGACCGACGATGATGGGTGCTGAGGAGGGACCGAGGGAGCAAGGGGACACCGCAGGCTCTGGTGACAGAAGTGCTGACAGGGGCACAGAGGGACACGGTGAGGTCAGAGTGCGTGAGGGCTGACGGGTGACTGAAGGGAGTGAGGAGTCCAACTGAACCGAAGGGGTGACAAAACGGGGCAGAGCCAAAGTAAGGAAGTCCATAGGTGAGGGGAGGATGACGAGGGAGTGCAGGGAATTCGGAGGGACGAGGGAGCCTGGCCGAGCTGGTGGACTGTGGGACCATGGAGGAGCTGAGGGAGGTAGCAGCCACGGGGGAGCCGATGGGACCGGGGGCTGAGGAAGTGTCTCAGAGGAGGAGGTGTGAGGCGAAAACCGGGGATCCAAGGACCAGGCTGGTTTCGGGAAGCTGAAGGGCAGGAGAGCAGAGGGAGGACAGATGAGAGGAGGTGGGAGAGGGAGGCTGGGTGGGATCCCGGTCTCTGGCGCTGGCTGGACGGTCCCTGGCGCTGGCTGGACGGTCTCAGGCGCTGGCTGGACGGTCTCTGGCGCTGGCTTGACGGTCTCTGGCGCTGGCTGGACGGTCTCTGGCGCTGGCTGGACGGTCTCTGGCGCTGGCTGGACGGTCCCTGGCGCTGGCTGGACGGTCTCAGGCGCTGGCTGGACGGTCTCTGGCGCTGGCTTGACGGTCTCTGGCGCTGGCTGGACGGTCTCTGGCGCTGGCTGGACGGTCTCTGGCGCTGTCTGGACGGTCTCTGGCGCAGGCTGGACGGTCTCTGGCGCAGGCTGGACGGTCTTTGGCGCTGGCTGGACGGTCTCTGGAGAGCTGTACGGAACCAGCAGTGAAGAGCATACAGTCTCTGGAGGGCTGGACGGAACCAGCAGTGAAGAGCATACAGTCTCTGGAGTGCTGGACGGAACCAGCGGTGAAGAGCCTTCCGACTCTGGAGAGCTGGACGGAACCAGCGGTGAAGAGCATTCAATCTCTGGAGAGCTGGACGGAACCAGCGGTGAAGAGCATTCAGTCTCTGGAGAGCATTCGAGCGATGGAGTGGGGCTGGTGACGTCATACAGGGTAAAGGGAGATCCACATGACACCAGCACCCACTCCACATAGGCCGCAAAGTCCCCTCGAGGCCCGTCTCCGGGCAGGCGTGCCTGGGTTTCAGCATTTAGGCCTGCCCGGAAGAACACACAGAGGCTGGTAACATCATAGTGAACATGAGGTACCAAATCCAAATACCTCTGTGTGTGGGCCTCGAGGGATTGATCCTCCTGCTCCAGGAGGAGAAGCTGTACAGCGGCTAAATCCATTTTAATCCCTTTTTTGGGGGTCGGTCGATCTGTCACGGGTGCGGGTTCAGGCAGAAGGACGAACAGGCAGAGTCCAGAAAAGCTCCAATACAAAAGGTTTATTCTCAAATTCACAGGAAACAGGCAGGCGAAACACAGGGTGACATTCACATCGACCGACAAGGACAGACTGAATGGGAAGGAACTAAATACACACAGGAATCAAACTAAACGAGGTGAAAACAGGTGAAACAGATGAATACAGGACGCTGAACGGGAGGCTGATGAGGGAGTGAGTTCAGGTGTGGAGACAAGAGGATCCTGGGAAGTGTAGTGCTGGAGATGCAGACAGGATGGTGCAGACGAAGACTGTGACAATAGCAACACACTAAAAACATGTATTTTAAAATAGTTTACTAAACTTTCAAGGATTTAACAGTGGCATAAGAAACTCAAGCATCCTTTTTTTCTAATCGTTTGCAAATTTGTTAAATATGGGACATTGAAAGTGATGTTCTATTTTTGATCTATTGATTTATTCAAAGACATATTAAAAATGCAATTTATACATACAATGACATACCCTTAATGTCATACTGAAGAAAAAAGCCATTAAAAAGAAATAAATAACTGAAAAGAAATCCGTAGGTATTTCCATTACTACTGGAGCTGCCAGTTTCAAGTGATTATTAAACATCAAGAACAAACTATGGAAAAGCAGAAGCCAGTCCTGCACACTCAGTGTCTGAATTCAATAATTTGTTTTCATTCACTCCTTCAAGTGAACTCCATTAGTGCAGTAATGTAGGGAACAGTGAATGAGAGTATAGGGGGCACACTGCTAATGGTTAAGTCATTGCATTTCTTTAAAATGGTATAACAGTTTTTCACAACCACATGAAATACAATGTTTTTTCATCTAGATTTCGAAAATAGTTTTTCCTTTCCTTGACACTCTTATATATCATTTGAATTCTTTACTTCTGCAGGTCCTCCAGACAAAAACCCTCAGCCAACACGATTGCTCACGACGGCTACGCCTCCTCGCCTGCACCCACCGACTGACCCTCGAAAGCAGGACCGCCAGGGTCGCCCTCATCGCCCTCCGCAGAAGTCCAAACCTGCCCACCCCAACTCCAAACCCAACATCTGCGACGGAGGATTCAACACTCTGGCAATCCTACGACAGGAGCTGTTCGTCTTCAAGGTATGACTGATGAACAGCTTCACAGAGAATTAGTGCTGTATAAATTGTGTGTTTCCTAACACCAGTGCTCTCTTATTAGGATCAGTGGTTCTGGAGGGTGCGAGATAATTCTGTGGTGCCTGGATACCCAATGCAAATAAGCTACTTCTGGAGAGGTCTGCCTCCCAAGATCGATGCTGTCTACGAAAACAGCGAGGGGAGATTTGTCTTCTTCAAAGGTAAGACTTGTCTTCTTCTGACTTTTAAATCTTACAGCCTAAATATAGACGTGAATGTGTGAAGGAGAGGCCTCAGCTTTCAGGGTCTGTTAAAGCTGTGGAAGCTTCTGGTAATTGCGACCTTATTATCTCATAATCTATTTCTGTTATGACAACTCTCTGAGAGATTGGCATGGTAATGGATTTGGCAATGTTAATGTATTGACGGAATAGATCTGCTATGCTGCTGCAGAGCAAGCATCGAGACTTGCTACTGCTAATACAGACATTACTTTGAGCAAGTAACTGTTAGCGTCAAAGAAGCTCTGGCCGCCCTGTCAAGGACGCTTGTCAAAAAGTACGCGGAAGCTTGTTGACGCTTTAGACCCTTTGAACGTTCTGACGTTGCAGGGAGAATAGAAGTGTCACAACATGAAATGTAAAAAATCAAGAAAAAAACAAGAAATACATTGAAGTTACCTTTTATAATGACAGCATTTTAAAGGATTAGTTCACTTTTGAAAAAACTTTTGCTAATTTACTCACCCCCATGTCATCCAAGATGTCCATGTCTTTCTTTCTTCAGTCAAAAAGAAATTAAGGTTTTTGATGAAAACATTCCAGGATTTTTCTCCACATAATGGACTTACATGGGAACCAGACGGTCCAAGGTCCAAAAGACAGTTAATAACAGTTTCAGATGCAGCTTCAAATGTCTTTAAACGTCACCAGACAATGAATAACGGTCTTATCATGCGAAACGATCGGTTATTTCAAAACTTATTCCAAAAATGTAACTTTTCTAAGGACAAATGCTAGCCTTGCTCTATTCTGTGAGGCGCGTTTGTAACGTCACGTAATACGTAATTACGTTCAAAAGGTCACGGGCGACGTAGCCGGAAGTACAGAATCAAAATCGTCCGACATCGTTGTTTTACCTTTTAATTCCTTTTTTTTGTAAACGGCGTTTGAGTTAGTTTGCACGTTCAACCTATGCGTTCAACTTGTAAACACTGACTCTGTACTTTCGGCTACGTCGCCCGTGACCTTTTGAACGTAATTACGTATTACGTGACATTACAAACGCGCCTCACAGAACAGAGCAAGGCTAGCATTTGTCCTTAGAAAAGTTACATTTTTGGAATGAGCTTTGAAATAACCGATCGTTTCGCATGATAAGACCCTTATTCATCGTCTGGTGTCGTTTAAAGACATTTGAAGCTGCATCTGAAACTGTTATTAACTGTCTTTTGGACCTTGAACCGTTTGGTTCCCATGTAAGTCCATTATATGGAGAAAAATCCTGGAATTTTTTCATCAAAAACCTAAATTTCTTTTCGACTGAGGAAAGAAAGACATGGACATCTTGGATGACATGGGGGTGAGTAAATTATCAGCAAAAGTTTTTTCAAAAGTGAACTAATCCTTTAATAACGGTTGTGGTCACATTTGGTCGAGAAAAAAAGAATAGTTAGCTATTATTATTATTATTATTTGCATTAGGTTATAAATGCAATTGGTCAAATCGGTGTCACCGTGAGCAAATGAATTGCATTCCCCCTTTAAAACGAGGGTTTGTAAATATTTCAAATAAAAGTTGCGCTCATGCGGTCCCTATAAGCAAACAACACGTCATGTCATAAATGATAGCAAACCTGTAGGAAACCCAGCAACGGCAATTATGATGCCACAGCAACCAATCATGTAGATAACGATGTGATCACTAACAAATTGAGTTAAGGACCTATCAGCCTGCGCCATCTAGAGTTTCATGACAGAAATTTGTTTTTTATATATTTCTGAGTTTTTTTTTTAAAATCTGAATTCAGTTTATATCTCGCAATTCGGACTTTACAACACAATTGTGAGTTTATATCTCACAACTCTGAGAGAAAATTGCGGGATATAAAGTCTTGCAATTCTAAGAAATAAAGTCAGAATTGCTAAAATCTGAAAAGTCAGAAGTTTATATCACACTGTTGTGAGTTCAAACCCTGTAATTCTGACCTCTTTTTTTCCCCAGAATAGCGAGGTATAAACAGAATTGGGGGTCGGAATTGTGAGACACAAACCTGTTTTACTTTTTTATTCCGTGGTGGAAACAAGCATTCTTAAAAAGCCACCATAATTGTCATCAGTATTTTTTAGTATTATTATTATTATGTGAAGACAATGCCATTTATTTAAATGCTTTAGTCAATCTTTTCCATTTCTCCGTATTTCTGAAGGCAACCGGTTCTGGGTGTTTAAGGATACAACTCTGCAGCCCACATATCCTCAGAACATTTCTCTTTTTGGGAATGGAATGCCTACGCAGAGCATTGAAACCGCTGTTTGGTGGGAAGATGTGGCCAAAACCTACTTTTTCAAAGGCGATAGGTCAGTTTTATAGCTTCCAGACACAGTGTACAATAGGACCCAGTGGATATCCCCTTCACTGGATTGTTCCGTAATATCAGAGACCGATTTTTCTTTCTCTGTTTACTGTTACAGGTATTGGAGGTACAATGAGGACATGAGGACCATGGACCCTGGATATCCAAAACCTATTACTGTGTGGAAAGGCATCCCAGACTCTCCACAGGGAGCCTTTGTGGACAAAGCCAATGGTAAGACATTGAAATGATCCCAGCTAACTGTGAAGTGCTTTGTAATAATACTGGAAATCAAAATGAATCATTGTAAGTGCCATGGTCTGGTGGTTTGCACATCATGCAGACATACTAAGATATTACTTTTTATGTGGGTGATGCACGTTTGAGTATTCTTAAACTAAATCCACTAATTAAGATTTATAAAACTGGGGACACTTCCTAGTTCAATAATAATTATTATTATTATAATTATTATTAATTATTATGATGTTTGCAGGTCTAACTGGTTTTAATTCATTTCACCAAAAATCACCCAATGAAAAATACCAAAAAATAAACATTCTATATACAGTAATTATATATTTTTAACTTTTTAAACATTATCTTATATTTGTGCTTTTGGAAATGGATCATTGGCTAAAATATAAGGCTAATTAGGCTTGTTATTTTGCATTTTAAGCACAAAGTACATGCATTCTTCAAAATACAATTGTTTAGTGGGTTTATTATCGTTATATTACACTCACCTAAAGGATTATTAGGAACACCATACTAATACTGTGTTTGACCCTCTTTCGCCTTCAGAACTGCCTTATTTCCACGTGGCATTGATTCAACAAGGTGCTGAAAGCATTCTTTAGAAATGTCGGCCCATATTGATAGGATAGCATCTTGCAGTTGATGGAGATTTGTGGGATTCACATCCAGGGCACGAAGCTCTCGTTCCACCACATCGCAAAGATGCTCTATTGGGTTGAGATCTGGTGACTGTGGGGGCCATTTAATGCAGTGAACTCATTGTCATGTTCAAAAAACCAATTTGAAATGATTCAAGCTTTGTGATATGGTGCATTATCCTGCTGGAAGTAGCCATCAGAGGAATGGGTACATGGTGGCCATAAAGGGATGGACATGGTCAGAAACAAAGCTCAGGTAGGCCGTGACATTTAAACGATGACCAATTGACACTAAGGGGCCTAAAGTGTGCCAAGAAAACATCCCCCACACCATTACACCACCACCACCAGCCTGCACAGTGGTAACAAGGCATGATGGATCCATGTTCTCCTTCTGTTTACGCCAAATTCTGACTCTACCATCTGAATGTCTCAACAGAAATCGAGACTCATCAGACCAGGCAACATTTTTCCAGTCTTCAACTGTGAGCTCTTGCAAATTGTAGCCTCTTTTTCCTATTTGTAGTGGAGATGAGTGGTACCCTGTGGGGTCTTCTGCTTTTGTAGCCCATCCGCCTCAAGGTTGTGCGTGTTGTGGCTTCACAAATGCTTTGCTGCATACCTCGGTTGTAAGGAGTGGTTATTTCAGTCAAAGTTGCTCTTCTATCAGCTTGAATCAGTCGGCCCATTCTCCTCTGACCTCTAGCATTAACAAGGCATTTTCGCCCACAGGACTGCCACATACTGGATGTTTTTTCCCTTTTCACACCATTCTAAATGGTTGTGCATGAAAATCCCAGTAACTGAGCAGATTGTGAAATACTCAGACCGGCCCGTCTGGCACCAACAACCATGCCACACTCAAAATATCTTAAATCACCTTTCTTTCCCATTCTGACATTCAGTTTGGAGTTCAGGAGATTGTCTTGACCAGGACCACACACACCCCTAAATGCATTGAAGCAACTGCCATGTGATTGGTTGATTAGATAATTGCATTAACTCTTTCCCCGCCAAACACGGAATTTTCCGGGTTTAATGAAAAAACGCATCACCGCCAAACACGGAATTTTCCGGGTATCCGTGTTTTAGGTGGTATACGGTAAGGAAGACCCGCGCGCATGTTCTGAATGAGTGCGCAACTCTTTGATCAGAGAAACAGATTGCAATCGTCTCAAACAGTGGAGTAGTGAGAATGTATCAGACAGACAATGCAGAGGTATATGGCTGAAGTACTGGAGGTTAATGGACTCGGAGTCCGATCACTCTTTATTTGATAATTCTGAATCTGATCGGGACGAAGTAGTCAGTGAGAGAGATGCACATGTTGTCAACTTGTCACAGAAAGTTCTAGCCATGGACGTGCCGCAGATAGATCGTATAATACTTGTATTATGACACTATAATATTTATGTGTGTGTGCAGGCATTTATGTGTGGCTGTCTAAATATGAAGGTGTAATTGTCAAATTATTTCTCTCTTTGTGCACATTTACCACATTGTAATATGTATTTGCGTGTGTGTGTGTGTGTGTGTGTGTGTGTCTAGGCCTTTTTATTGTAATTCCAATTATTCATTATTCACAGGTAGAACACAGAGAGGCAGAGGCAGAAGTTTTATTGCAAAAGTTACATTTCCCTTACATCCTGGGAAATTTGATATATTTTACATTTATTTATGTTTTTAATTTATTTTGGAAAGTTTTATATATGAAGGAAACAACATCTGAATGTATTCTGCTTTTAAATGCACTTGTTTGATAAAAATACCTTTTTCTCAGTTTTTTGTCCAAAATGTTGTGTTTTTGACAAAACCTACCTCTGTTCAAGAGGCAATAAAAAAGAACAAATGAAGATAAAATAAAAACTTTTTTTTTGCCTAAAAGCAGAGGCTCAGATCTTTATTTTTATATATATCATCTTCATATATTCATGGAAGAAAATATTCAGCTGGGCATTCAAATTTAGCGAAAATCGTCAAAAACCCTGGCGGTGGCTGGCAACTTTTTTTTTAAAACGCTGGCGGGGAAAGAGTTAATGAGAAATTGAACAGATGTTCCTAATAATTATTTAGGTCAGTGTATATGTCAGGTGTATTTTCTGTGTGTGTGCGTGCGTACGTGTGTGTGTGTGTGTGTGTGTGTGTTTTCAATTACTGCGTCTTGAATGTGGAACTTTTAAAAATGTTAATGTTTTATACAAACAGAATTATTTTAACATGAATAGTTAGTATGTAAGTAATACCTTATAACCATAATGCTCTGCTCTCATCCAGGTTCAGTTTATCAAGGCTAAAATAGCAGCAGTAAACTGGGACAGTACCCAGAAAACGGACGTCTGGTCACCTTAACCCACATTTAAATGTTGTTCAGAAACCTGAATGTAGACTTGATTTTGGAAACTCTTTCCAGACTAGAATCCCCTCAGGGTCACAGGGTTTAAGTAATTGGCTCACTCTGAGGTGCTGAGCTTCAGACTTTGTGTTGGTGACAACTGGCAGAAGATTAGTTTTTTAAAACTTGTATAAGATGGCTGTACTCTGTGCAAATAGTGAGTCTTCACCCGATCTCTGAGCTCCTTCGGTGTGATAATTGGCCTCACTGTGGCTTCTCTCAACAATCTCTTGTGTTTTTGAGGAACAACTAGTTCTAGGCAGCATTTGGGTAATTTATAACTTCAACTTCAACTTCCTCATAAATGAACCAATAGTTGCCAAATGAGAGCTTCAAAAAAGGTTTGGTAGCGGTTTACTAAATGTATACCTTTGTTTTACTTTAATTGGAATGGTCTTTATACCATGGTACATTCTAAAAATCATATTAAATTATACGTTTTTAATATATTTTTATATTGTAATAAGTTTGCATTTAATCTCGAAATGAATGTAGAAACAACATTAAGATAGTAGTTTATTTTTTAAATATTTGTTTAAAGGGGTATTCCACTTTTTTTGGAAATAGGCTAATTTTACAACTACCCCAGAGTTAAACAGTTGGGTTTTACCGTTCTCGAATCCATTTAGCTGATTTCTGATATTTAGAAGACTATCAGTAACCAGACAGTTTCTGGTCTCATTAACTTCCATAGTAGGAAAAAAATATACCATGGAAGTCAATGAGACCAGAAACTGTCTGGTTAGTGATATTCTACTAAATATCAGAAAATCGGCTGAATACATTCGAAAACGGTAAAACTCAACTGTTTAACTCTGGGGAGTGGTAAAATGAGCCTATTTCCATAAAAAAAAGTGGAGTACCCCTTTAATGGCATATTTTTTTTAATTAAAGAAGACCAGTATCACTGATACCAATACTGTTGCTGATGTCTCTATGAAATAGATTTTTTTCTCTCCCTATTTTAGCCTTTAATTATAAAAGCTATTTCAATTGAAAGCCAAATGTTTGACATTTATTAGGCTTTAACAACTTTTAATTTATGTGAACGTAAAACAATCTTCACATCAACCCATTAATAAATGTCATACCTGTGCCCTTCAATATATCAGGGTTAAACTTTTCTATTGGCCCAGTCAGACCACTTCAGATTTTTAAACAAAAAGTTATTCTTTTCATTGTTTTTGACCCTTGTAACATTGTAAACAGTGCTTTAAGATTTTCGGATATAAACAGAAATAGAAAAAAACACTACAGTCTTCACAGATTATTGTAATTATTTTAAATGAAATTTAAAATTAGATTAATCCATCTTAAAGCTGTGTTATTCAGTCAAGAGCATTTTTTTTTTTTGTCTTTTGTTCATTTATTAACAGTAATGACAGACATAACAGCAGCAGGTTTATTAGTCTGCTGTCACTTTAAGACCAGCCACACATGATGCGGATCTCACGCGCATGCTGTTTCACACAACTCTTTAAATACATTTAAGACTTAATTTAACACATTTGTGCCTTTTGGCATTATTTGGTGCGTTTTGGCTATTCAAGTGTGGTCTAAAGCGGCTTTCTGGTGAGCACAAGAAAGTATCATTTATAGGCCTATAATTATAGTAACATATAATTGACTTCTAATTACATTCTTTTATTACCCAAAATCATTGTACAAGCAATGACTGGATTGATTGAAGTTTCTAAGAATATCCCATGGTTATATTTCCCATTACGTGTGGTTCAATATGAGCTGTCTTCCTTCTTCCCTAAGGATTCACATACTTCTACAAGGGGAAGGAGTATTGGAAGTTCAACAACCAGCGGCTGAGAGTGGAGCAAGGCTACCCAAGGTCTATCCTGCGGGATTTTATGGGCTGCGACGGTTACACCACCGACCCCGACTGGGACTGGAGCTCCCCACAAGAAGAGGAACCGCCGCAGTATGACCACGACGATGACGTTGATATCGTGCTGAAGCTGGAGAGCAGCGGTGGAGCAGAGAAAGCGGTGGCCATTGCCATTCCCTGCGTCCTGGCCCTGTGCATGATGGTGTTGCTTTACACCGTGTTCCGCTTCAAGAGGAAGGACACGCAGCGCCACATACTGTACTGCAAGAGATCCATGCAGGAGTGGGTCTGAGAAGTTGAGGTCCCACTCCCACTGATAAAACTATTTCCGTCTTAAAAATCCCCTCAAAGGTCAAAGTAATTGACAGAAGTGAAAGACGGCATAAATGGACAGCATGCCAGCTTCCTTCTAGTCAGCCTTTGAAGGTGGCAATGTCTTGTTTTTGTATGGTTTTGGGCGGCCATTTTGGTTCCCAGAGTCCTGTTTCCGGAGTGAACTCTTACTCTACAAACCATAATTATCAACTTTTCAATTGACTCAAGAATTATTTATCTTCAGACTGCTGAACTCGATACTCCATGTAACATGCGAACTCACCTGTCACTCCGAAATACTTGCTTGTGTTGAAAAAACCCAAACCAAATATGCCCTTAGTGTCCAAAGAGGATTGCTTCATTCACATGGGATATCCTAAGATGACTGGATTATCGATCATTATTTGAGTTCCATTCAGCTGCGTTCATCTGCAGAATATATGGGATCTGTTTGCTTGGAAATCAGAAAGGGCCTTGACATATAACATTGGGGCTACATGCAATATTTCGTCGAATGCCTTAATCACATATTGAGTTTATTTTTCTGTATGTCGGTGTACATGTGCCTGTGTGAATGCGACCCCTTTTTATTACTACATTTGTTCGTCACTGTTCTTTTTACGCTCTGCTGACCAATGGGAACTTGCAGTACGATTTAAAGTGCCGCTGACTGTTGAAAAGTTTCATTGAAAACGAGTGTATGGCTGCCGTCCATGTTCTGTCCACACTTCAAACCACAGCATAGAAAATTTAACTTTTGGGTGAGTCCTTCCAATCAAATCGAAGAGAATTTATTAAGTAAAAGGATTGCGTTTAGCAGAAAGTCCTAATGAACCTTCCTGATGCTCTTAAGAATCAATAGATTATAAGTAAAAACCACTGAAATGAGCTATATTTGCACTTCCTGAAGAAAATACTTGTGCTTGCAAGGCAGCAAGAGTGGGTAAGTTTAGCTTTGGTTCATCATCAGAGCCACTTACTGTATGAATCTTCCGTCTTCGAAAAACAACCTGTAATGTAAGATTGTCTTCGCAGTGTAAAGTCCACTTCGGTTTAGACGCGAGCACTTAGCATATGCGCGCAGTTGATCGTGTAGCTTCCATTTTATAGCAAGGTGGTTCGACACAGACTGACTCGAAGCTTTGATCTTTTGTTGTGTCTGTGCTATTTCTTAACAGAAGTTATTGATTGATTACATTTCTTTGAATCTCTTTATTCACTCACACATGTGCTTTGTTTTCGTGGTTTCTAGTGGTTTGTTGCTGTTGTTGTTTTTCCTCATCTGATTCTTTTTCAGACAGCGTCGGCACCTTCTAATTAGGGCAAAATAATTGGTAAAAAAAGTACGAGATGAGCGTACAGAGTACACGTAGTTAGAAAAATAGGGCAGCATGTGTACAGCAGTGTTGAGGGTAACACATTTACAAGTAACGTGAGTTACATCAACAGATAACATATAAAGTAACATATTACTTTCAAATTTACAACAAAAATAAGACAATTTTCAAATAAGTAACGCAAGTTACTTTTTAGTTACACTTTTTTTGTGCCGTAGTTACATTGTAGACTACTTACTCAAATAAGTACTGAGTAATATTAATGAACGTACTAACCATAGAGTTATGTTTAGGGTTTGGTTTAGGGTTAGTTACTTGTAATTATGAATAATGTTATTACTATACAAAGTATATGTAGTAACGTGTAACTACGTCACCTGAAAATAAAGTATTACCATTTTTTTTCCCCTATTTATTGAATGCATCCTTCCCCAATCCAGAATGGCAGCACAGATGAAAGGTTTGTTTGAGCTGCGCCCTCTACTGTACAGGAGTGAATTTCACTTTTGACAAAAAATGTAACTTGCAAGCCCTGCACAGGTGAGACGCAGTAATGCAAAAGTAGTGTAACATTACTTCCCATTAAAAGTTACTAAGTAACGCAATTAGTTACTTTTTTGGAAGAAAAACACTATTGTAACACATTACTTTCCCCAACACTGGCGTACAGTATGCAAAATGATGCCAAGAATAGCCAATCAGGATGCAGGATGCCTATTAATCCCGAAAACAGACCAATCCATTTATCATTATTATTAATACACAAATCAGTTTGTTTTGTGATAATAAATGGCTGACTGTACATTATTCCACATTATTTTTTTTCCGGCTAAAATAAATAAAACTTTTAAATTAAATAAATACAATACGTGGACAGAAAAAAAATATTATTTTGAGTTGAAATTAATGTATGTTTATATTATCATGTAGCTTCTGCTAAGAAAACATAGTCCTTTACAGATTTACCATGCTGTGATTTACCAATCAGAAAAGAAGAATAAAATGAGAAGTTATCTATTTGTGTGAAGTTAATTATTACTGTGCTGCCTTGCAAACACCCAATGTTTATCTGGTAAAGTCCACGCTTGAGTGTCATAAAATGCTGTTTTCAGGCATGGGTTTGGGTAAAATAGCATTTGTCGCACCGCTAAAAGGAAACTAAGATACTGCAATCAGAGGAATAGCTTTACTGCTTAATGATGACCATGTGAAGATATTTGTTAGCATAATCATTCTCAGAGCATATATATCTGTGACTGAACACATCAAATGTTGCCGTTTTATATTCCTTTATTGAGTGTTTCTTGGAAGTGGTGAATATTGTCACATGTCTTGTTTTATCTTTTCTTCTAAGAACTGATCTATAATGGACTATGGTGTTTCTCACCATGCCATCAGCATCAGCCATCCAGTTGAACAATACTGAAATGTGTGAACTGTTGCTTTCATTATTACCAGATCTCAAGAATATGCCCCATTCTACCTTTGAGGTCACTTGGATGCGGATCTGAACATGCTGTATATATAAATCTCATGTAGTGTCTTTATTACGGACATGAAAGGCAAATTATGCAGTACGTCAATAATAAGATATTATCTAAGATGTGGCGTGTGAATCATTCTTGTGAGCTCTAATGAAGAAGTTAACAAAATGTATCAGGCAACCATAAGACATTAACATGTAATTTATCACTGCGATTCATGAAAGGTTGTTTGGATGATCTAATTAAACAATTATATATTAAATAATAGTGTTGACTCATGAAAATATTGTCTCTCTAATGTCACAACTTTATAATGTAATGGGGGAACTTCAGTGAGGTCTTGGGCTCGGTAAGTTTTATTATGTTTTTGAAAGAAGTCTCTTTTGCTCACCAAGGCTGCATGATCAAAAATACAGTAGAAACAGTAATATTGTGAAATATTACATTTCAAAATAACATTTTTCTATTGTCATATCAAAGGAATTAGGAATTAGTTCACTGTTAAAAAAAAAAAAAAAACTTTTGCTGATAATTTACTCACGTTATCCAAGATATCCATGTCTTTCTTTCTTCAGTCGAAAAGAAATTAAGGGTTTTGATGAAAACATTCCAGGATTTTTCTCCATATAATGCACTTCAATGGGAACCAAACGGTTCATGGTCCAAAAGACAGTGCAAACTACAAACTGTTCAAAGGGCTTTAAATGACACCAGGCGATGATGAATAAGGGTCTTATCATGTGAAACGATCGCTCATTTAAAAAATAAATAACAAAGTTTAAGTTTTATAAGCTCAAATGCTCGCTTTGCTCTGTTCTGTGATGCACGTTTGTGAAACTCCTGTTCGAACTCGTTCATCAAAATGAACAAATCTTTTTCCGAGTCAATTCATTCCTTTCGTTTGTTGAATCAACCAAATGACACGAAAAAAGATTCGTTCATTTTGATAAACGAGTTCGAACAGAGTCACGAACGTGCATCACAGAACAGAGCAAGGCGACCATTTGAGCTTATAAAACTTAAACTTTGTTATTTTTTTTTTTAAATGAGCGATCGTTTCACTTGATAAGACCCTTATTCATCATCTGGAATCGTTTAAAGCCCTTTGTAAAGTTTGCAGTTTGCACTGAAACTACTCCATTAAGATGTAATTTATTCCTGTGGTGGCAAAGCTGAATTCTCAACATCATTACTCTAGTCTTCAGTGTCACATGATCCTTCAGAAATCATTCTGATATGATTATTTGATGCTCAAGAAACTATTCTTATCATTATCAATGTTGAAAACAGCTGTCCTGCTTAATATTCTTGTGGAAACTGATATTTCCCCCCCAAAGAACAGCATTTCTTCTAAATAGACCTCTTTTGTAGCATTACATGTCAGTCACTTTTGATCAATTTACTGCATCCTTGCTGAATAGAAGTGTTGTATTTATTTGTATTTGTAGAAGTTTGTATTTATATTTTTTATATTTTATATATTTACTATTTATATATAATTTGAGCAGGATATTTTTATTCATTCTGTTGCACTGCAATATTGTCCAGATACTACGACGCCCATTTAAAAAAGGGCAGTTTAGTATCTGTACAATATTGCAGTCCAGCAGGACAAATATACTCAATCTAATATAATAACCAGTTACGCTGATGTATTATGTTCCTCCGCCCCTTTGCTCACCTCACCCTGAAATGCATTGACTGTAAAATAGGTCACACTCATGACTTCCATTTAGTGTGAAGTTCTGTGCGATGTAAAACAGAGTGTGTAATTTAAACAAGTCTGGTAGAGAGCAGATTGCAGGTGCTGCCTGGTTCACTGCATCTCAGAAGAAATTTAAGCACTGAGGTTCACGCTAAAAGGAAAAGGTTAGTGAACACTGGAAAGAAAACCATTGGCATTTCACTGGTCCGTAACCCTGAAATGCATTTGTGAAAAAATGCTCGTTCTGAAGAGCTCAGTGAATGCAAGCCTGTGATTGAATGCCACCTTTGGAATTAGTCAGTTCATGAAATTTCATCCCTGCTATATATTCGGTCAACTGTAAGTGGTGTAAATGGAAAGTGGAAGCATTTAGGAACAGCATTAACTCAGCCATGAAGTCGAAGATCACATTTAGTCATAGTGTGGGGTCACCGAGTGCTGAGGTGCATGGTGCTCTTCTGATTCCACCCCTGAAGAGTTCAAAACTGGCATCAATATCAGCACAAAAACTGTGTGGTGGGAGCATATATAATAGATTTCCATGGTCGAGCAGCTGCATGCAAGTCTCGCATCAACAAGTACAATGTGAAGCGTTGGATGGTGTGTGGGGTAAAGCATGCTGTCATTGGAGCAGAGGAAACATTGACAAAACACGCTTCTCAGTTTGGCAGTCTGATGGGTGAGTATGGGTTTGGGGGATACCAGGAAAATGCCTGACTGCATTTTTTAAACAGTAATGTTAGGCGGAGTATGGGCTCTTTTTCAGGGGTTGGGCTAGGCCCCTTACTTCTAGTGTAACCGAAAAGTTTCCTTCCCATGTTGACACTTTGGAAACATCCATGCCCACTATGCCATACTGAACAAATGCCTGGCCAATCGTTTTGAATAATAACAAGCTCAAAAGCTTAAAGGTGCCATCTACCATAATAAATCAAATCCTACTCCATATTCCATAACAGATGGGGGCAGTATACCTCCAAAAAATGACTTGTGCTCCTACCATCGCGCATGTTATTCAAATCATTTGACATGATAGTAAAAGGTTGGAAGACCGCAGTTTCACGTGGAACATTTGGAGATTTTTAGAGATCAGAGACTCAATGAACTAAACACTAGAGTGAACTAAACTAAACACTATGAATCTCAACACTAAATGATGAAGACCGCCTCATAGATCTCAAAAACAAGCTGGTGCATTTCGACGGTATGGGAAAATAAAAGCTTGGGCAATTATTTGAAGTTTATGGTATTCGTTTTGTTCATATTACACTTTTATTGTTAGTGAATTAATTTGACAGACAGCATTCGCTGATGTTGATCAAGCTAGCGCCGTGAATTCACCGTGAGACACACGCAATTGACACTTAGCAAGCAGGTTAGTTAAGCTCTCAGATTCTGTCAATTACATTACGCAATTCAAAGAATAAATACCGTTTTGGCGCTTGTACATGTTACCACAGATCCCTAGCGCACATGAATCGATCGTCTCTACTAGCTAATGGAAAAAGAACATGAACTCTGTTGAAAGATACAGTATGCTACAACTTACCAAAATGTATTCCTCATGCATAATGTCGACCAATCATTTTTTGAACTCTTCCCTGAACTGAAATGTAGTAGTGGGCTGTATTTCCACACGACTGACATCAGGTTCAAGTACACATACACACACACACACACAAGCCGGCGCGAGCGCGACTCACTCGCATATTGCAGTTTGGCTGGTGCTAACGTTGCCCGTCCGCATACCGCCTCCCATGGCCGGAACTGGTATTACGATACCTGCCGGGCCGTGGCTAGTAATTTAGCATGCTAATTCAGGTTAATATCTCGGCAGCACTATAACTTGTCAGTTTTTTAATGACATCTTTGCACTTATTTCTTCTCATTCTTTTGATGCGTGTAGCTCATTTTTCGTATATTGTTACCTCAATTATTGTATATGGCACCTTTAAGAGAGCCTAGGGTAAACTCCATATTCAAGCTATTGAATCTAATGAAGGTGTGGGTAGGGGAGTACGATCCATGGACCTCTTGAAGGGAAACCAATAATGCCTTAGAGAAAGCCATTATCCTGGTAGAATGGACTCTGATGAATAGGGGTGAAGGAAGGTTATGTGCCTCGTAAGCAACAGAGAAAGCCTCTAAAGTCCATTTGCTTCTGCATTGGTTGGACGCAGCAAAAGAGCCAAGTTCTGGGGGGACCTACCACCAACAACTTCTTAGACTTACACCACCGAGATAAGCCCTGGACGTAACAATTGAGAGCTCGAACTGGGCAAAGCAGAGTGCGTCTGAAGGGGAGGAGGGCAAAAGGCCAGGAAAACTATGGAGTGTCCTATTAGGCACTTTTAGAAACATAACCCTAAGGTGAAGAAAAGCTTTGACCATGCAGGAAAAAAAGCTCTAAGCAGGAGTAGGCAACAGACAGGTCCTGCAGTTAAGTGATTGAAAGTAAGAATGCCATCTTGAGAGTCAGAAATGTCTCAGAAGTTGATTAAAAAAGGCTCAAAGGGTGCCATTGACAAACCCTCCAAAATAACAGCCTAGTCCCAGGCCTCAGCCATAGAGTACCACACAGGGAACAGGACACTAAAAGCCCTTGCACACTGAATCCAAAATTTCCGGATGCGTTTTTTTCGCATTCAAACTCCTTGCTTCGGATTCAATCTGATTTTTTTTATGACGGACGAAAGTTTCGGAGGCAGAGTGATTGAGTGTGATTGACATAACGAGAGGTTGTATGTATTTATTTAATGTGCAAAAATTTTGGACGCAAATTTCAGACTCAGTGTGCAAGGGCCTTCGAGGGTGTCTCCCCAAAGTCTCAACACTGGCAGGTGCGTGGTAAGCAGCCAAGTAAACCTTAAATGTGGAGGGGGTTAAGACTCAATCCCAATTCACCCCTTGGCCCTACCCCTCCGTTTTGCGTGTTCACGTCTAGGGGTAAGGGTGTCCCGATTCTTGTTGAGATCGAGGGGTAGGGCGAAGGGGTAGGGCTACATAGCCCTCGAAACGGAGAGAGGCACACTCCAAACGGAGGGCTACGAGAAAGTTCACAGCGCCAGATGATACCACCATGTACTTTATTAACTCTTATAATAATACTATAGTCATTTGAATTAAGAAATGGTATGATAAATTACCTTTCCGAATCAGAAAATACATACATTTCGAGGAAGGAATGTTATAATCATCATGTTTCCTCAAAGTTAGGAGCAGCGGCGCTGATTGTCAGTCGTTGTCATGGACAAATGCTGTATAGACTCTGTAACGCCAGAGCCATTGCCAGCGACTGATGATGTATCGGGTTCATGAAGGGTTGTTCCATTTCGTAGGGGAATATTTCAACCCCTTGGCCCTTGTAACTCTGTTTTAAGGGGCAAGGGGTACACTCGAAAACAAGGGGTAGGGCCAGGGGTTGAATTGGGATTGAGCCTAACCCAGTTGAAAAACTATCCATTCTCAAAACAACTGGAAAGTCAACTGGGTCCAACTACTGTAGTTCCCTTTCGTAGTCACTTCGAGTTACGTCAGAAGTGACGGAGATTGGGGGTTTCGC